GGGAGGTGAAAGCAGATTCCTAGGTTCTGTGAGCGGAAGAAGCTCTGTTGCCAAAGCTCTGAACATTGACAGAGCAAATGCATGTTCGCTAGTGTGAACAGCTACTTCTTGCTCATCTGTGTATAGGCTAATACTTTGAAATATGTCAGTTCCTAAGGCTTGTTCTGTTGCTCAAGGGCTGTCCTAAAGGGCCAAGGGCCTGCTCCCCAGCATTGGCCCGCAGAACAGAGTCCCCTGTACTTGATCTTCTTTTCTCGTGCAACCCACCTATACTGATCCAGACAACTAGGGATGAGGGGGAGGAACAGTGCAGCTGCCCCTGCCTACTTGCTTCTGGACCTTCTGCCTGTCAAAGAAGCAGTGACAGGAAAGAGGATGAGGAACCACAGCAGTGGGAACAATGACAATGAGAAAATAGGCTCTCAGAAGGAGGGGGCCCATTGAGGGTCTGTTCCCCAAGGGCCCTCCAGAACCTGGAGCTGGCACTGACATTACTTGGCGAGAAAACCAGGTGCCTGTTTAGAACTGTTTCATGTCTGTTTAGAACTGTCCAATGTGGAGTGACTGCCAGTGGCTTTTGAAATTGGCTTATTATTCTGCTTTCTAAGGTCTGTGGTATTCTACAATTTTCTGGTTCCATGAAAGAAGGCTAGCTGAGAAAGAATTTCTGGTTACACTCCTGAAATGCAAATAGCTTACTTCTGGTTATGTACTCACAGATGACGGGGGGGGGGGGCAGGGGGGTTACTCACAACACTCTCTTCTTCACCCTGCTAAAAATTTAGTAACTAAAGTGAAGCCAGAGTGCAGTTAAGCCATTGCTGTTGCATACTTTTGGCTTCAATTTTACTTTATTCTAAAAATGCCAGGAATGATGACCTAGACTTTTTTTTGTTGTGGCAGGTGGCTTGCATATTTAGTTGTGTAAACATTTTGGAAACTTCCACTGTAACTTCTGTCTCCCTTCATTTAAAATACCTGATTTTATTTCTTGCATGTGTCTTAATTGCTATATATAAACTGCCCTATGTTTCCTTCCATTTCTTCAACTGCAATACTACTTTAGTGGGCTTCAACTTAGAGTTATCTTACAATCTACATGACCTAAGGGTCTGGCAGCAAAGTAATTTGCCTGGCTGGAAGACTGTGTAGGAGGATGATTAATCTTTCCCTCCTAACAAGAGGTGGTCCTGATCTTTGTGTACTTACACTACAGTAAAAAGAATAATATCCCTAATGAATAAATTAATAATTTATTAAATAAATAATTTTATAATGTGAGTTTTAATTAAGATTATTTTATATGGATTTTAACTTGTTTTATCTATGTTGTAAGCCGCCCCGAGGCTTCGGCGAATGGGGCGGCATAAAAATGTTTTAATAAATAAATAAATAAATAAATAAATAAATAAATAATGATACACTTTTGAATTAGTGTAACATGCAGTTTGTCTTTAAGGTGAACCTTCACTTGACTAGTTCAGTGTTCATTGCCAGAATTTCAGTCAGCAGAAGGCCTGCAAAAGCACAGTTGTTTTATTAGGCTCACCATTATGTTATATTATGTTATTCACGAAGGCATGCTCAACACATCGCGATTCCATGGACAGCATTCCTCCAGGCTCTCCTATCCTGCACCATCCCCAGGAGTCCACCTAAGCTCATCCCGACTGCTTCAGTGACTCCATCTAGCCACCTTATCCTCTGCCATCCCCTTCTTCTTTTGCCGTCAATTGCTCCCAGCATTAGGATCCTCTCCAGTGAGTCCTTCCTTCTCATTAGGTGGCCAGAGTATTTGAGTTGCATCTACAGTATCTGGCCTTCTAAAGAGCAGTCAGGTTTGATCTCTAAGACTGACTGGTTTGATCTCCTTGCAGTCCAAGGGACTCAGAGGAGTCTTCTCCAGCACCACAGTTCAGTGCTCAGCCTTCCTTATGGTCCAGCTTTCACAACCATACAATGCAACAGGGAAAATCATAGCCTTGACTATACGAACTTTTGTCGGCAGGGTGATGTCTCTGCTTTTTAGTATACTGTCTAGATTTGCCATAGCTTTCCTCCCAAGGGGCAAGCGTCTTTTAATTTCTTGACTGCAGTCACCGTCTGCAGTGATCTTGGAGCCCAGGATCTGTCACTACCTCCATTTTTTCCCCATCTGTTTGCCGGGAAGTGAGAGGAGCGGATGTCATGATCTTAGTTTTGCGCTCTCCTCTTTCATCAGCATCAAGAGGCTCTTTAGTTCCTCTTCACTTTCTTCCATTAGAGTGGTATCATCTGCATATCTGAGACTGTTGATATTTCTTCCGGCAACCTTAATTCCAACTGGTGATTCACCTTTTGCATTATGTGCTCTGCATATAAGTTAAATAGGCAGGGCAACAGTACACAGTCTTGCCAAACTCCTTTCCCAATTTTGAACCAATCAGTGGTTCCGTGTCCAGTTCTCACTGTTGCTTCTTGACCTGCATACAGGTTTCTCAAGAGACAAATAAGATGGTCTGGTACTCCCATCTCTTCAAGAACTTGCCACAATTTGTTGTGATCCACACAATCAAAGGCATTAGCATAGTCAATGAAGCAGAAGTAGATGTTTTTCTGGAACTCCCTTGTTTTCTCCATGATCCAGCGTATGTTGGCAATTTGATCTCTAGTTCCTTTCCCTCTTCGAGATCCTGCCTGTACTTCTGGTAGTTCTCGGTCCACATACTGCTGGAGCATAGCTTGTAGGATTTTGAGCATAACTTTGCTAGCATGTGAAATGAGTGCAGTGGTGCGGTAGTTTGAACATTCTTTGGCATTGCCCTTCTTTGGAATTGGAATGTAAACTGACCTTTTCCAATCCTGCGGCCACTGTTGAGTTTTTCAAATTTGCTGGCATATTGAGTGTAGCACTTTAACTGCATTGTCTTTTAGGATTTTGAATAGCTCAGCTGGAATACTGTCACCTCCACTAGATTTGTTGTTGCTCAGACTTCCTAAGGCCCATTTGACTTCACATTCCAGGCTTGAGGTGGACCTATCTACCTTCTGCATGTTCCTGACCTAGAAGGATAAAACATAACCTGTCCATTATCTGTAATTACATCTCATTTGTCCCAGTCATTTACAATAAAGTAAGGTCTGAACAGAAGGTAAGTGGTGCAGGAAAACACCACACCAAACAGAAGTTTTAATGGGGAGCACATTTTGTTTAAGACCTCTTGGGTTATGATCCTGTGCCCATTTAGCTAAACTACAAGAACGAGGGGCTGGGTAACCTTTCCTATGGGAGAGTTGCAACATCTGGGGCTCTTTAGAAGAAAGCTGAGTAAAGAAAAAGATGAAAGAGGTATACAAAGTTATTCATGCCTCTCTCACAATACTAGAACTCGGAGTCATTGCATGGATCTGACAGATATTCAGGAAAGATGGAAGGAAGTACTTACTTCACACATTGCATGGAATTTGCTAACACAAGATGTAGTAAAGGCCAGCACTTTGGATGGCTTTAAAAGGTGATTAGACACATTCATGGAGGATAAAATTGTCTATGGCTGATTGTTATGTGATACCTGCAGTAACAGAGGCAGTATGATTATGCGCACAGGTTGCTGAGGAACATGAGAAAGAAGATACTATTGCATGCATGCTCTATGCTATGGGCTTCCCATGGGCAGCAGGTTGGCCATTAGTAAACAAAAAAGATGGACTAGATTGCTCTGACCCAGTATGACTCTTCTTATGTCACGTACCAGGTGGTAGATCCAACTGGTCTTTATGGGACTTACTTCTTAGTAGACTTGTATAGGACAGCACTGATGGAATGTTTTAAAATTAATTTATGATTCTTTGAATTTGTTACAGTGATAGCATTATGTGCTTTATAGTGTAATCTTTGGAGAAACAACTATCTTGAAAGGAAGTGAAGAAATGCATTAAATAAGCAGGTTACTAACAGTAGTAGTAATGTCTTTTATGATGAAACTTGCTTGCATATATGTATTTAGGATTGCAGCAGCCATATTAAGCTTTGTATGAAAACCAGTAGAAATGCAGCTGAAGCTAACCTGTCCCAGATTACCTGTGATTGCATTTATTTATTGAGTATTTGTATTAAAATGGACCATACATTCCTCCCTATCAATAAAACTGAATGGGGTCCTGGTAGGGAAAAAAATGAGGTGGGGAAAGGCTTGCAGTGGCTAACTAATAATTCCTCTCTTCTGAGTTGTACAGCTGTAATGCTACAGTTTTGGGTTACTTGCTCACAGGATTTTCTTCTATTTTACATTGTGCATTTAGTTTTTTGCTGTTAGAATATTAAGCCTTGTTCTCTTTTCCTTTTGTCAGCAGATGGGAGAGATGCTGTATTAATGCTGCAGTAGAACCATCCTGGATTCTGTATAGATAGGCAGCCTTGGCTGCTGGGAAGGGCCAGGAGTTATGCTATGAAACCTGCTCTACTGTAGTTATGGGGCTGGGGTTGTCATAATTTATTCATTCACTTTCAAGCATCATCCAGATAGTCATTTTCAGCAAATTGGAGTCATTTATCTCCCCCACCCCTAATTCTTTCTGTTCATTCCTTCTTGCCTTTGAGGTTATCCCAGTGTTTCAACTATAAACCTTTCTATTCCCACTTTTTCTGCTTTACTGAGGAATACTTTTTAACATGCTAAGAACCTGCCTGCTTGGCAATAAAGACCACCTAGAGCAACCTTCCCCAACTTTGTGCCTTCCAGACATGTATGGACTGCAACACCCAGAATTTCTAGTCAATGGTCCAAATGCCTTTAAAGGTCCTAAGGTCAGGAAAGCTGACCTAGAGCAATTGTGTTCATGTGCATAGAAGTACAGACATGCTTGTGTTTGTAGGACTTGGGTAAGGAATAGATGAGGAACTATCTGCAGTGTTCCATTAAATATGATCACCTGAAGCTTGTGGGCATTCTAAAATAAAAGTTGGATTCTGATTATTTATTGTGCCTGCCGTGGTAACCCTGTATGTGATCTGTTTCAAGGGGATGGCCTTCCCTGTGGACCTACTGGATAACTATAGTCATGAAGATCTGGAGAGTTCTGGAGAAGATTATCTGTCAGATCTTAGATGTGGGGATCCAGACAATCCAGAGTTCCTGTCTCTTGCCAATAATGTCAAAGTAAGACTTGAGATATTATTTGGAGTGTTGCTATTCTTTGCCTGCCTGTCTGCCTGCCTGCCTAAACAGTTTGCCTTCTGTGAAATGGGTATTTTATTGTACTTTATGGGGGCAAATACGTGATCATGGTATTTGGGTCTCACCCCCCCACACACACCTTTTATTCAGTTTTGATCAAGTTACTTGTCTTTGAGTTTCAGCAACATGTATAAGAGCCAGAGTAGAAATCTGGGTTCAAAAGAATGGTTTTGTGTTTAGAGCTCAGTCAACCCACCTCTTTCTACTTGGATTCTTGGGCAGGTTACTTTTTCTTTTAGGCTCACTACTTTGCCTCTTGGGAAATGAGTGTTTTATGACTGACCATGACAAAGGATGTCAGCCATTTTGTGCCCACAAAACTCTCTTGAAACCCCAGTTTGGTTGGGGGACCTGTCCTGAGTCAAAGATGCTTGTTCTGGAGGACACTGAGGGCTTGGTTGTCATCTCCTACAAAAAAAGACCACTGAACAGAAGAATAAATATTCCCAACAAGTACTCAATTTTCAATTTTTGTTATGTCTCTCTTTTCCTAGTGCCAGATTGTGGTAGCTAAACATTCATTCCTACATTCTAGCCTTTAATCAATGGTAAAGTGATACATCACAAAAAATGAGGTCCAATGTCTGTGTTGTATTTGGGTGTATGTGTGCTTCTGAGTGCTGCAGGTGTTCATATGAGCCTATTGTCTCCTCTAGAGCATATTTTAATCTGTTGCTGTGCTAGCAGTTCTCAGCAAAACCACAATTTTTTTCTCCCCTCCCAGATTCCAATTTGTTTATCAACGGTTGGCTTTGTACCCCTTTACGGTGGAGAGGAAAGACACAAAGTCCTTGCTCTGTTTGTACCAGAAGATCCACTCACAGGTTTAATATAAATTTTAATCTCAGTATTACAGTGTTCCAGTCATGTTTCACCATTCCTATATTGTTGTGTGTTCCTGCCCTGAAGATCTAATGTAATTGGGCTTTAAAAATCATCATTACAAGAGATGCAGCTGAAGTTAGGGCACCACAAGCTGTTGCTAGGAGAATAGTTGGCTTCTTCCAACACAAGTTGTAATGTTGGCCCAGCAGGCAAGGCCTACCGGCCCATCTATAGTGTCACATGGCTGAATTTGTGAGCTGCCAGGAATGACCTTATTTCCCCTTCTAGGTTGATTGTCTCTGAGGACATCTCCGGTGGCTGGGGAGAATAGTGCTTCCAAGCCCTTTCTCAAACTTCTAAGAATAGGAGCAGTCTACTGCTCCTGAGCAAGAGCAGAAAGGCAGTGTCTTTTGTTTAGAAATAACATCAGACTGTGGCTGATTATTCAAAACATTATTCTTGTGGGGTTGACCCTTTCATTGCAGGGAAAATGAGATGGTGGCTATCAAGGAGAGGCATCCTGGCTGGGGAATGCCCTTCCAGAAAGGCTCTCCTGGTCCCTTATATTGTCATCTTTTCAGAGTCAGGTGAATGCCTTATTCTTCTCCCAGGCATTTTAGTACTTTAGTATTAAGCTTATATTGTTATCATGTTGCATTTGATGGTTTCATCTTTTGTGAACTGCCCAGAGAACTTAAGCTATTAAATGTCATAAGTAAGTAGGGTATCTCCATACATACCAACCGGAGCACTGAGGTTGTCATTGGAAGCCCTTCTCTGTATTCCTTTCCTCCCGCTCCCGTGAAGCAAGAAAGGAGATGGTGAGGAAAAGGGCTTCCCACTATGGAACTCACTCCCATCCAAGATTTGGCTGGCACCGACCTTGTATTCTTTCAGGAACCAGTTAAAAACCTATCTTTTTCATGACTGTTTTGGTGGGTGAACTGTTTTGTTTTAGTTTAATGGGTTATGTTATGCTGACACCATTTTTGATTTTGATGTTTCTTTTTTCCCTGATTTTAATGCCAATAAATTTTTAGTATGTATAATTTGTACTTATGTTTTTAGACTATTTTAAGATATATTAATTGTTCAGGTTTTTATTTTATTGTCATTTTATTGGTTGATTATATACTGTGTGTGTTTTGATGAATCATATTGTTTAACTGTTGTTAAAATGCTATTTATTATGTTGTGAGCCACCCAGACAGCCTATGGCTAATGGGGGTGGCATAGAAAATAAATAGGTAGGTAGGTAGGTAGGATTGCACCTTAAGTAACTATGTAAATGGAAGTATTGTGGACACTGCAGCTGTAGGAATCTCAGATCTGAATTTCTGAAAACATGGTGACTGCTTATGGAACACAGACTGGCCCATGGCTTGCTAAGGATGAAATTTTTATTGGTGAATAAGTATTTAGTAATCTAATCCTGAATAAAAGTGACACATGTAAGCTCTATTTGTGTGTTCGAAAATATTGTACCCAAACAAATACATCATTCCCCTGATTTTGGACACATTATATAACCCCTTGTTTAGAAATCTGTGTCATGAAACAGTGCAGATTCCAGATGACTGTAGACATACGGGCCCCTTCCCTGCGAACATTTCTCCTTTACACACATATGTCCAGAGGCCAACATAATGCATAATCCCAGTTGTGTTATGGTAAAGTACTTTTGAATACCTGAAGAGGGCTATAGTCAGAAAAAAGTGTGCACCCAGGTAAGTAAGCTTAGAAAATGTAGTTAAGACCTTAAAAAAGTAATACAACCTAACTTCATACTCTTTGTGTCTTTTCCAAGCTGTTGCCCTGTTCCTTGTTGATCAGTGGTGGATGATTGAGGATATTGTGAAAACATCTGTTCCTGCTAGAGAAGGGCTTCTACGGGTAAGTAATGCTGTTGCACCATTTAAAGATAGAAGTTTGGTAACTGTTCTGACTCTACAGGTCATCTAACCCGGAGAGAACATACAGTATATTCTGAATGTTAAATTAAGATTCATTTGGAATAGAAATGTGTGTATGTGTCTGTGTACATGTGTGGCATTCATTTAATTCTGTTTTCTATTAGAGCTATAAATATCTTGGATTTAAATTGCAACTACAAGGTGGGTTTGTCTAGAGAACCCTGGAACCTTTAGTAGATCTAGTAGCCCCTTCTCAAATCAGTACTACTTATAAGAACTGGCAAAAACTTGCATGGAACCACTACAAATCTCATTCATAGTATAGGTATGTCAAATTAAGTTTTCATCTAGTTCTGGTTTTTATGATGTTTTTAATTTTATTTAATACCATTTTTGTATATTGCCTCTCAAACTATTCCAGTTGGCTTACAAACAACATAAGCAACAAGTGTTGAAATAAAAACCAACAAACACAGAAAGACATTTCTAGAAAAGACTTGCAAACTACTGTTACCTTGGAACTAGGAACATCAATGTTTGCAACCTCTTTAAATAGGTAGCCATTTTGGCATCTGCTTTTCTTTTTTGCATAACAGCATCTGTCATATTCTCCTCTATTTGTTATATAGGTGAAGTCCCTTGGGGAGAGAGTGGTTCTTTATGTGCTAAATAGAATAATTTATCGCAAGCAAGATATTGAAAAAAACGAGTTTCCTTTCCTGTGTCATGGTAGCCATGATTATGCAAAGATACTATGGAAGAAAGGAGAAGCAATTGGGTTTTATTCTGTTAAGCTTCCAGGTAAGGCACTCCTTTGAAACCAAAAAAGTCATTTAATGTGAATCAAGAGAAACCAAGTTCACCTTTTTTAACACCATTGGTCAAGCACAAGCCTATGGTTCTGCACAGTTTTTCCGGTTCAGAATGGTGAAACAGCTGTATGTACCTGACATCATTAACTTGTTGGTGGTTGCATAGTGTGCCGGGTTGTATACTTACCTTTATCTAGGACACTTTCTGCATAAGGCTGTATACTGCCACTTTACCAAGGGTGTTCCTTCTGGGTTCTTTGTAGGTCTTAGATGGCCTTCTTTATTGGTACTCTTTTCCCCCAGGGTTTTTCTTTTGCTACCTTTCCATATGTTCCATTGCACAACCATTAGGTGGTGATTTGGTATGACAGAATTACAAAAATGCACACACTTATGTGTATAAGGAAACTGACAAGGTGAGACTACATGTATGGGACAAGTGAAGGTGTTTTCTTGCACACCTTTGAAAGAATGGAAAAACAATAAACATACATCCTTTTTTACATACTCCTGAAGCATTACACCCCCACCGAAGGATGATAAATGAAAGCAGGTAGTGATCAGAGGGGGGCAGGAGCTGGGACTGAGGAGGACTGAGAGAAAGAAGAGAACAAGCCGCAGTAGGCCTAATCCTTTGTTGGAGGTCCTGTGGTTTCTGTGAACAACCGGCCCACTGTAGTTTATTTTCAGGGTTGCTCAGTGTTTTGTGTGAGCCTACTGATAGGACACTGTGCCTGGTGTGGGGAAATTGGATAGCCCAGCAACACTGAATGGCTGTGACTCACAAGGTCTCAGGTAGGAACGATTTCAGCCTAGGTAGAGATGCTGGGGACTGAGTCGGGGACATTCAGCATGCAAACCAAATGCCCCTCTCATGAGCTACAGCCTTTCCTGGTCCTGGGAGCACAAGCAACATTGACTGTGCTGTTGTGCTTGTGTGCTGCTTGTATGTATGGGCACCGGGTTGTCTAGTGTAAGACGCAGGATGTTGGACCAGCTGCTCTTCTATTTACTCCGCTCATTTTTTTCCAGCTTGTTTGTTGAAGTGACGGATTCGTATACTTCTCTACAAGTAAATATATTGCAGGTAGACATAACAGGTTGCCATTGCAATTAAGCATGTATTGTATGTCTCATGTGTACTGCAAAAGAACAGATGAAGGATAAATAAGAATAAAATTAATTATACCTAAGGAACTTGATGCAGGCTGACTTTTTCCTTTCTGTTCTCTGACACAAATGAAGAGCAAAATTCCCTCTCCACTTATGAAAGTAATTGTTTCGTGACTATGAGCAAACATATATGAATGTCTGTGAATTGTATTAATCAAAGTTGCTCTCTCTTTAGACTCAACGGATTAATTTCTTGGCAAAATGGTTGCCCAGCCCAACAAATTATATGGCTTTGATGACTGTTGGAAACTTGATATTTGGCCAGCTGGGCCCCCAATATGCTCTGACTTGCTAAATCTTGGGAGAAGGCAATAAGCAGATGGTGAGGGGAGGGGGCTGTGTGTGGTCCCTGTTGAGTTTTTTGGCCTTTGTGAATGGAGACAAATTTCAAAGCGTATGCTGACTGGCTGCATTAGAGATTTTTATCCAGTTGTTCTTTAAATTATGCTTCTAGATTGATACGGAAATGATTCATATAAAACTAGCCTAAAAATTCAATCCTTGTCACTTTTCTTGAATTTATAGTTTTGGCATAGGTCAGTTTAGCTAGAACCTTTTCCACAATTTTCTAACACTTACTGCATCACAGGTTTGCTGTCTGAAATAAAGCTGTCAAGCTGGAATTGCCTGAACCAAAGTTTCTGTTCAAAAGGAAGAAAGGTTGGCTTTTGGCAGTGTTAAGGTGGAACTGAAAGAGCGATACTTTCGATGAAATGAACCCAGGGGCAAAAGGAAGCTGTGAGTCCATCAAAGTCAAGGCAATGTTAAAATTGCTGGAGAAGAAGAATGTTGAATCTCTTGGGTTTGCATAACCAAAATTAAACAGTATTGATTCTGTTTGAGTCATCTAGATAATAGGAAGATAGTCTAGGATTGTTAACATGGCCTAACAGCAGTAGCTTTGAGAGTTTCAGGCAGGGGTTTTCCAGCCCTATCTGGAGAGGCCAGAGACTGTGTCTGGGACCTTCTGTATTCAAAGCATCTGCTCTTCCACTGAACTCCAGCCCTTTTAATTTAGAGATACTATAGACTGCTGCTCCAAACTATGGTGAGGATTGTCCAGCTTCTTTTAGGAAACACCTTAGTACACCAAGAGGATGAACCCACCCAGAAGTGCTAATCAGAGTTGCTGTTGTGATTTCAGGAAGCATATGTAGTGCTTTTCTTACCCAGAGCTACCAGCTTCCAGTCCTGGACACAATGTTTGTGAGGAAGAAACATCGGGGGAAAGACTTAGGGCTACTGATGCTGGAAGATTTTGTGGATTCTTTCATGGAAGACACACTGGGCCTTCGGTTCCCACTCACATCCTTTATGCATGCTGGTAAGCCCTTCAGACATACGTGCAACTGAGGTTTACATTTTACAGCTGTTCTTTATCTCTTTAAGAGGTGACCCATAAAAGAAGCCTGCATGTGTGTGCTTGTGAGCATGCATGTGTAATTTATGTATATGTGCTACAAACGCATCCAAACCTAAAACACTGTGTAATGCTGCGACTTTCTTTGAACACTTTCAGAAATTTAAACCTTAAGGAATAGTGGTTAGAAGGTCATTTTTGTCCACATTATGCTATGACACTCACTGGATGACTTTGGTACAGAAAAAGTGACTGACTCTCAGCCCAACTTACCTCACAGGGTTGCTGTGAAGATAAAAAGTGGAGTGGGGAAGGACCATTTAGCTACCTTGGGTTCCTTCCAAGTGGGGAAAAGGACAGGATATAAATGTAATAATTAAATAGATTTGACCTTCCAGTTTTCTAGATTCTAAATCTAGCAAATGCAGTATTAGGGAAAAGACAAAAGTATGTTAGGCACATACATACATACATACAAAAATGCAAGCATGTTTAGAAAAAAGTCCTATAACTCCCATCATTCCCCAGGCAGAATGGCTGGCTGCAGAATGCTGGCTTTTGTAGGATTTTCTTTCTCAAAATGCATAGGATTGTCCTTTTAGGGTAAAAAATATGATGTAGCAATCTCTTCAACAAATGGAATATATTTTTATATTCCTTTTTGTTGAATGAGATACTGGTATCAGACTCTGTTCTTTTCCATCTGTGGTCTTGCAGATTCTACCTTTTTGCTAATTTGGGGGATTTTTTTTTTTAAACAGGAGCCTGATGTTAAATGGGGATCTTGATTTTGGTCTTTGTATAATTTCCCTGCTTAGCCCGAGCCTTTCAAACCAGGTGCACCAGAACCTGGCAGATTTCTTCCTGATGATACCTGTGCACTACTTGTGGTTGAAGTTTGGTAGGTAGATAGGTATTTTGCAGCAATAATGCTTACCTCCACTACTGAAAAGCAGTTTGGGGCCTTCCTATCACTACTACTTATTTTAGCTTTGACATATCCATAGTGAGACATGCCTGGGGAGGTTAGATAGGACCTGGAGTTAGCTGTCAAGAGCTATGCTGAGATTCTTGGATCTTAATCTCTGCTGTATGGATGAGTAAGTAATTGTACACTACCACCATTCTCCAGCACTGGGCTTTTTGGCCTTATTTACTCTGGCGATCTTTCAGGGTACTAAGTTCCTTTTACTCTACTGCTCATTTCAGTAGTATACTATGAAGGTCTCTGCAGTTGATGTGAGCAAAACCTGGAGATGGTACAGATGCAGCTTGATGGGTCTAAGTGCTCATTAGCAAACTAATCATGGTTGCTTATGTGAGAAAGTGGTCTTGACTATCAGAGCGTAAAAAAGCTCCAAGATGCATCATTGTAAAGTGGAATCATCCTGCTTGTAGTAAAGCTATCTTTCTATAACACTGATCTGAAGGCAACTTTTAAAGTAAAAGGGTGGGTGTGGAGAATTCTTTTGCCAAAATTCTATCTGATACATGTGCTGAATCTGTCCTGTTTTATATTTTTTCCCCAGCTTGCCAGAAGTACTTTGAAAGGTACCCTGGGGATCATGACCTTCTGTGGGAAGTTGAAGGAATAGGTCATTTGCACCAGCGAACACCTGTAGCTAGCATATTGCAGAGAGAGAGTTTAAAATATAAAGGTATGAAGGCTTTGGGGAATGATGCAGGGCTGGTGTGGGCAGAAGCTGATCAGCAAGGGTTTCTGCTTCTTAGGGCACTATCCTATACATGTTTAGTAAGGAAAAGGTCCCATAGCCCCAGGCGTGTCCCAGTCAGCATGTTTTTTGTCTGAACATACAAAGGATTATCGCTTCCATAACAGTTTAAGAATAAGAAAGACAAAAAGCCTGCTAAAGAAAGCTTGGGGAAATAGTAGTTGTGGGCTCTGGGTTCTGATACTTTAAACTTATCCTGAGCTGAGTGTGAGGTCAGAAGCACCCTTGTTCCATGAATTTTGAGCCACTGCTTTAAACTTGGCTCCTGTTGGTTGACCTTGGGGTTCTAGTGAAAAACAAAATAAATTCTAAAGGCTGCCCCTAATAGAAAATGCAGAAAAATATATTATCATTAATGTGTCTTAGAGTTATTTTACAGAGGTATTAGTGTTTTCTCTCTCACACACTGTTTTTCTTTGAACAGAAGGTGCCCAAAAAGATAGTAAGAGTTCCCAGAACGAGGATCGCTTTCTCCAGCCTCCCATAGCAAATGAACAGTCTGCTGAACCCAATGAAACACGGCTAAGTGTAGGTACACAAACTGTTTTCTTGTATTGTTTGGCACTTTTATAAAAGCTCTGTTTTAATTTAAAAACAGTAACAAAAATGTCTTGAGTATTTTTTTCCAGCATGGAAATGTAGGGAACTCTTGTCTTTTAACAAGTCACTTCAGTTTCTCTTTCCCACGTTCCCTAACACAAATTTGGGTGTAAATCTTCTATAAGAATAGAGTAGTACCTTAGACACAATCTGGCCTTCTAGGGTTCCCCAGAAGGCCTCATTGCTGTCTCTTAGCTTCACCTCCTTTCCCCCAGTCACTGTTAATTTGCTGGTTTCTTGGCTTCGGTGTAGTCCCCCTTCTACCATTTCTAAGATATTGAAATGTCTCTCCTAAGGCTTAGTGATTGGCAAGAAGAGCTTTAAGCTATAAAAGGCTGGTACATTTCTTTTCTGGCCTTGGACCCTTCTCTTGCAGTCCCCAAGAGCTTCTGTGCAATGTAGTTTGGCCCACAGCTTGAAACAGATGCTGCCTCACTCTTGTATAATTAAAAGCTTGTGCTCAGAGTTGGACTCTCAAAAGATACACATCACGCCAGGAGTTTACAGGTGGCAAATGGTGCATCTGTAAACATGCATCAGATGGTTCAGTATGAGCCGCCCAAAGATGCTTGTGAGAGAAGCAAGCATTCTTCTGATTCTGTGAGCTGGGTGAAGCCCTTGCTCCAACTGTGGGGAGCAGGACTCCGGGCTTGGTAGGTAGCAGAGGAAATTTGCATTCCTTCTTATATCTGCTGACTGTGAATGAAGGAAACAGCTGGTGCAGCTTGTGGGTTGTATCCAAAAGTGTCAGGAAACATTTGTTTGCCTGCAAGTTTCACAAGTTTCCACTTTCCCCTCTGTGGTCATCAGATGTACTCTGGACACACCAGATCAGTGGGGTGGATGGGAAAGGCCCATTGCACAAATGAAGTCTGCTTATAAAATGTTGGATTAAGCCTGTATTCTTAACATGGGAAGATTGGGCCGTGGACTGTGGGGTTAATGGAAGAGGGCAGCAGTTCTGCCTATTTCAGCTTGCATAGCAACCCTTTCCTTGGAAGGAAATGCCACAAGCGCCTCCCTTTGCCTCAGGCAAAGAATAGGCTGGAGGTGATCCTGCTGTGGATTACTGCCTACCCACTTCATACTAACTTCCTGATTCTCGACCTCCAGGTTTTACCCTATATTTGTCTCTATGGTCATTCCTTTCTGAGATAAAGCCAGGAAAAAGCGGGGAGTGTGTAGGTTGCTCTGTCTCCTGCTAGGTACTCTGAGTACCTTCTGCATCCCATTTTGTCACATCCCACAAGCCTGTTTCTCATCTTCTGTTTCTCTCTTTTAGTTTCCAGATTTCACCTTATTTATTTATTTATTTATTTATTTGTTGTTGTTGTTAGTTGCAAAGTCACGTCCGACCCATTGCAACCCCATGGACAAGATTCCTCCAGGCCTTCCTGTCCTCCACCATCCCCCGGAGTCCACTTAAGCTCACACCGACTGCTTCAGTGACTCCATCTAGCCACCTCATCCTCTGCCAATCCCCTTCTTTTGCCGTCAATTGTTCCCAGCATTAGGCTCTTCTCCAGTGAGTCCTTCCTTCTCATTAGATGGCCAAAGTATTTGAGTTTCATCTTCAGTGTCTGGCCTTCTAAAGAGCAGTCAGGGTTGTTCTCCTCTAAGACTGACCGGTTTGATCGCCTTGCAGTCCAAGGGACCCACAGGAGTCTCCTCCAGCACCACAATTCAAAGGCCTCAATTCTTCGGTGCTCAGCCTTCCTTATGGTCCAGCTTTCACAGTCATACATTGCAACAGGGAAAACCATAGCCTTGACTATATGCACTTTTGTCAGCAGGGTGATGTCTTTGCTTTTCACCTTATTTATAGGATCTTGCTATATCAGCCTTTGCCAAGATACTGCTGATCTCAGAAGGGTTGGGCTACTTGTTAGGGCAGCCTGGTGTATATGAAAACTCCAGATGATTTACAGCTGTGTGGAACTTCCTAAACATATGGAAAGAGTGAGAATACACCAGGAATATCCTGAGTTCTTACTGTCATCCATGGTATTTCACATGGATAGCAAAAGGAATTGCTGAACTTCATCAAAATCCAGATGGAGTGTATATAATTGAATAACATGAGAGACACGTATCAGCGCTTATATAATATTAAAGTTTACTACATGTGTGTTAAAATGTGATGTTTCTTTCTTCTAGGTTGATGCCTATAAAAATAGAGATGGCTTAGATGTATGTGAAGGCACCTCTGAAGGTAAAATCCTTGACTCTCGCATTTCAGTTTCCTCATTGTTTTATAACATGCCCTTCCTTCCAGAGATGATACACGGCCAAATTCAGATATTACAGCAGCTGAAAATTGTGTGGGTGATGACCGCATTTTTATATATTTCTATTTTTATTGCAGAAAGTTTCAGTACAAAATATAAAGGGAAATAAATTGAATTAACCTGTGAATTAAGATTCAGATTATGTAATTCATTTACACAATAGAAAATGAAGAGCAGAAAAATGTATTTCCATAGAATAATTACCTTTTCTAAACTAATTCCAAAAGATTAATTGCTAATCTTTCTGTACATATTCACTGTATATTAACCATGTACTTACTTTGGACCCTTAGGTCATCTTCGGAGGCCGTTCTCCAGGTGCCCCAGGCACTTTAGAGATCTAGTACTAGTTTTTTACGGTCATTTTATCTTTTCTTGTGCTGTTTGGTATTGTATTTTATTCTTTAAAATATTGTATTGCTTTTCTATTTTAATTGTTTTTATTTTAGTCTTTTATTGATGCAGTCCATCCAGAGAGAGTTGATTATTGAGCAGAGTAAGAAGATAATAAAAATAACAAAAGTATTCGAATTTTTAAAATAGTCTTCTATTTCCCTGGAGGTAGTATTTGATATTTAGTTTTCACAAAAAGCTATAAGAAATAGACACTGTTAGATATCAGGGATTGTTCAAACTCTTTGATTTTATTTGGTTGAATGCAGGGCTAAGCTAAGGGCCCAATTCAAGGTGCTGGTACTTACTTATAAAGCCCTAAACGGCTTGGGTCTTGGATACCCAAAGGAATGTCTCTTCCCCTATATGCCCTCATGCCCCTTATGATCGGCAGGGGAGGCCTTACTCCGGGAACCATTTTTGAGGGAGGTACAGAGGGTATCCACGCGGAGGAGGGCCTTCTCTGCTGTGGCACCCAGACTATGGAACGTGCTCCCCAGAGAGGTCCACCTGGCGCCAACCCTCTTTTTGGCACCAGGTAAAGACCTTTTTATTTAATCTCCATTTTAATAACTAATACTATTTTATTAATACTGCTAATTTATATACAGTTGCATTTTTATTTTTATTACTTTTATTAATTAAGAGGGGATATATTGTGGAATTTTTTATGTTATTTATAATACTGTTATGCATTTTGGCATTTTATTCGTGTAAGCCGTCCTGAGGCTCTCGCAAAGGACAGCATACAAATGTCTTAAATAAATAAATGTTTTGAATAAATAAACCTTGTAAGCTGTCATGAGTTCCTTACAAAAGGAAGAAAGGTGGGAGTATAAATGTAATATATTAATAATAAACATTATAGTAAGCTTGTATTTTTTCCCATTCTCAGAGCTTAATGCTATGCTGCTTTCTACTCGATCACGAAGCAATCATCTAAAACGTCCAAAGTTGGGGAAAAGGATGCAAGAATCTGAAATTCCTGAAGGTGAAGATGTGACTCTTTCTCAAGCATCAGAAAACAGGTACATGGTGTGTTCCAGTAGTGTCAGAATGTAGAGACTTTGAAAAGGTCCTGATTTATACAAAGGAATGGCATGTGCACTTGCATGAGATTACAAAATAATCTTCATTGTTTTAAACCGCACTGAGATTCAGGAAAAAAATAATGAAGGGACTGCCATAAACTTACATTTTTTATTTTCCTGTCTAAGCTAGTTGCAATCTTGGCAGCCTTCCACCACATAGTTAACCCAACTAAAGCTTCTTTTAAATGTCAGAGCACCATTAAACTTAAATATTGTTGAAACTAAATAATGTATGAGAAATTCTCATTTAATAAATAGTTTTATCACTCCATATTGGAAGGAAAGCCTATCTTGTATATATAGGTATTTTTAATTCGCATTAACATACTAGAACCAAAATAGACTTCACATACTGACTGAAGCTTGACGTCCTAGTTTTTCATTTATCTAGGCTTCTGACAGCACAAGCCTAAATATGCCTACTTAGAAGTAAGTCCCACTGAGTTCTGTGGAGCTTACTGCTAGAGAGGCAGCATCATGTGGCAGTTGAGAGGGCTGGACTGGGACTCAGGAGACTTGTGTTCTAATCCCTACTCAGCCGTGGGGAATGCAGGTGACTTGGATGACTGGACTTTTTGGCCCAGAAAATGCATAGGCTGTGTTTGTCTACATTATGTGTCTTGCTGATCTGTTACCCAGTTACTGTTTCTTTCCTTGTTCCCTCCTAATTGTATTCATATGACACACCAGGGCTGAGCAGATTTTAAGCTTGCAGAATTTACTTTGTTTTTTTGCATTTTACTAAAACAGGCACGATCCACCAGCCAGAGTCAGGTGGATTTAAAAATTTGGAACCCAGGAATTTGTTTTAAATGGAGCTCACAGTACTTCTGCGCAAAGATGCACTCCTGCTTACTCCCAAGTCCTTTTCACTGCTTTGTTCAATATTTGGGAGTCAAGAATCCTTGCTGATCTCCTGCAGATAGTACAGGGATCTATCATAGATTCTGGATGTACCTTCTGCTATATCAAGATTGTGTGTTTTAATAGTTTGTTGTTGTTAGTCGCGAAGTCATGTCCGACCCATCGCGACCCCATGGACATCATTCATCCAGCCTTTCCTGTCTTCCACTACCCCTGGAGTCCACCTAAGCTCACACCAACTGCTTCAGTGACTCCATCTAGCCACCTCATTCTCTGCCATCCCCTTCTTCTTTTGCCATCTATTGTTCCTAGCATTAGGTTCTTCTCCAGGGAGTCTTTCCTTCTCATTAGGTGGCCAAAGTATTTGAGTTTCATCTTCACTATCTGGCCTTCTAAAGAGCAGTCAGAGTTGATCTCTTCTAGGACTGATCGGTTTGATCGCCTTGCGGTCCATGGGACTCGCAGGTGTCTCCTCCAGCACTACAATTCAAAGGCCTGAATCCTTCGGTGTTCAGCCTTCCTTTTGGTCCAGCTTTCACAGCCATACATTGCAACAGGGAAAACCATAGCCTTGACTGTACACACTTTTGTTGGCAGGGTGATGTCTCTGCTTTTTAGTATGCTGTCTAGGTTTGCCATAGCTTTCCTCCCAAGGGGCAAGTGTCTTTTAATTTCTTGGCTGCAGTCCCCATCTGCGGTGATCTTGGAGCCCAGGAAAATAAAATCTGTCACTACTTCCATTTCTTCCCCATCTATTTGCCAGGAAGTGAGAGGACCGGATGCCATGATCTTAGTTTTCTTAATGTTGAGTTTCAAGCCAACTTTTGCACTCTCCTCCTTCACCTGCATCAAGAGGCTCTTTAGTTCCTCTTCACTTTCTGCCATGAGAGTAGTATCATCTGCGTATCTGAGGTTGTTGATATTTCTCCCAGCAATCTTAATTCCAACTGGTGATTCATCTAGGCCTGCCTTTCTCATGATGTGCTCTGCATGTAAGTTAAATAGGCAGGGCAGCAGTATACAGCCTTGCCGAACTCCTTTCTCAATTTTGAACCAATCAGTGGTACCGTGTCCAGTTCTCACTGTTGCTTCTTGACCCACATATAGGTTTCTCAAGAGACAAATAAGATGGTCTGCTACTCCCATCTCTTTAAGAACTTGCCACAATTAGTTGTGATCCACACAATCAAAGGCTTTAACAAAGTCAATGAAACAGAAGTAGATGTTTTTCTGGAACTCCCTAGCTTTCTCCATGATCCAGCGTATGTTGGCAATTTGATCTCTAGTTCCTCTCCCTCTTCGAGATCCTGCCTGTACTTCTGGTAGTTCTCGGTCCACATACTGCTGGAGCCTAGCTTGTAGGATTTTGAGCATCACTTTGCTAGCATGTGAAATGAGTGCAATGGTGAGGTAGTTTGAACATTCCTTGGCATTGCCCTTCTTTGGGATCGGAATGTAAACTGACCTTTTCCAATCCTGCGGCCACTGTTAGGTTTTCTAAATTTGCTGGCATATTGAGTGTAGCACTTTTACTGCATCGTCTTTTAAGATTTTGAATAGCTCAGCTGGAATACTGTCACTTCCACTAGCTTTGTTGTTGCTCAGACTTCCTAAGGCCCATTTGACTTCACATTCCAGGATGTCTGGCTCGAGCTCAGTGACCACCCCATTGTGGTTATCAGGAACATTAAGCTCTTTCTTGTATAGTTCTTCTGTGTACTCTTGCCACCTCTTCTTAATCTCTTCTGCCTCTGTTAGGTCCCTGCCATTTTGGTTCTTTATCATGCCCATCTTTGCATGAAGCGTTCCCTTCATATCTCCAATTTTCTTGAAGAGATCTCTGGTCCTCCCTATTCTATTGTTTTCTTCTATTTCTTTGCACTGTTCATTTAAGAAGGCATTCTTATGTCTTCTAGCTGTTCTCTGGAATTCTGCATTCAATTGTTTGTATCTTTCTCTTTCTCCCTTGCCATTCGCTTCCCTTTTCTCAGCTACTTGTAAAGCTTCCTCAGACAGCCATTTTGCTTTCTTGCATTTCTTTTTCTTTGGGATGGTTTTACTTGCTACCTCTTGTACAATGTTGAGAACCTCCATCCATAGTTCTTCAGGCACTTTGTCTATCAGATCTAATTCCTTAAATCTATTTGTAACCTCTACTGTGTATTCATCAGGGATATGATTTAGGTCATACCTGAGTGACCTAGTGCTTTTCCCTACTTTCTTCAATTTAACCCTAAATTTTGCAATGAGAAGCTCATGATCTGAGCCACAGTCGGCTCCTGGTCTAGTTTTTAGGACTGTATAGAGCTTCTCCATCTTTGGATGCAGAGCACATAGTCAATCTTATTTCTGTGTTGACCGTCTGGTGATGTCCATGCGTAGAGTTGTCTCTTGGGTCACTGGAAAAGAGTGTTTGCTTTGACCATCGTATTCTCTTGACAAAATTCTACCAACCTGTGCCCTGCTTCATTTTGTACTCCAAGGCCAAACTTGCCTGTTATTCCAGTTATCTTTTGGCTTCCTACTTTAGCATTCCAATCCCCCATGATGATGAGGACATAATTTTTGGTGTTAATTCTAGAAGGTGTTGTAGGTCTTCATGGAACCGGTCAATTTCAGCCTCTTCAGCACCAATGGTTGGGGCATAGACTTGGACTATTGTGATGTTGAATGGTTTGCCTTGGATTCGAACTGAGATCGTTCTGTCATTTTGGAGATTGTATCCCAGTACTGCTTTTCCTACTCTTTTATTGACTATGAAGGCTACTCCGTTTCTTCTGAGGGATTCTTGCCCGCAGTAGTATACCTGATGGTCATCTGAATTAAATTCACCCATTCCTGTCCATTTTAGTTCACTGATTCCTAAGATGTCGATGTTCAGTCTTGTCATCTCTTGTTTGACCACATCCAGCTTGCCTTGATTCATGGATCTTACATTTCAGGTTCCTATGGAGTATAGATTTTTGCAGCATAGGAATTTCCTTTCACCACCCGATACATCTGCAACTGAGTGTCCTTTCGGCTTTGACCCAGTCGCTTCATTCTTTCTGGCACTACTAGTACTAGCCCTCTGCTCTTCCCCAGTAGCATATTGGACACTTTCCAACCTGAGGGGCTCATCTTCCGGCGTCATATCTTTTTGCCTTTTGGTACTGTCCATGGGGTTTTCAGGCAAAGATACTGGAGTGGGTTGCCATTTCCTTCTCCAGTGGATCAAGTTTTGTCAGAGCTCTTTGCTATGACCTGTCCGCCTTGGGTGGCCCTGCATGGCATAGCTCATAGCTTCATTGAGCTACGCAAGCCCCTTCACCGTGACAAGGCAGTGATCCCTGAAGGAGGTTTTAATATTAAATAATTCTTAAACATTTTGCATGCATGCTTTGTTGCTACTGCACAGACTGGAACCTTTTGCACGTGTATTTGAAAGTTCAGAAGATTTGGAAGATGAGATGGAAGAAAATGCAGATGAAAGTGCACAGGAAGTGTTAGTTGAAAATCAAAAACAACCAGTTCAAGAAACACCACAGCTATGTCCCCTTTCTGAGAAACAAGATGATAAGGAGGTATGCTTTGGTTGTATAAAAGACATTTCTAAAACTGTTGTTTTCCCCCCTGCTTTTTAAGGAATCATTGTCTCCCAAAATGGTTTCCATCAATAAAAAAGAAAGAGGGCCTCTTTCAGACTGAGAAGAGAACATTCATGAAGGAAAGGGAGTAGAGGGAAAAGATAGAGAAAGGGATAATTCTTCACAGCCAGAACAACAAGCTGACCTTGTTCAGTTCCAGCTAGGTTGATCTTCCCTTTCTGCTGTTCTCACATTGGTTCTTGATCCCTTGGCTGATGGGGTCAAGTGTTCTTGGCCCTTGCTTCTGAGGTCCCAGAGCAAGAAGCATCTGGAGGAGCTCAGTTTTCTTGCTGACAGGGAGTGGGGAAAGAGCTCCTTACAGCTGTTCCTTCTCTGACTGATGGATGGACCAAGTCGGTCTCTTGCTTGGCTTGAGGAGTGGTACCCCCGCCCACCCCCCCACCAGCTGTTGTTAGAAGCTAGAGGGACTGTGCTTGTATTCTGGCAATTTTTCCTACCCTTATAAAGGAGTTTAAGCCATGAACTTGTGTCTATCGTTATTCTCCTCTGCTTGTAGAAAAGAGTATGAACCATAAAAAGAATTTAGGAAGATGTATATATAGATAGGCTGCACTTCACTTTATGCCCTGCAGAGTGTATCTGATGTTTCTTCGTTCCCTTTAGGTTGTGAGTTGTCTGAATAAGACTCCCACCTTTTTTCATGTATATCTAACAAGAAGAAATAGGTTTCTTTCCCTCACTGTCTTTGCTGTTAGTTTGAGGCTCTTGAGACTGCTCAATAAAATTCTGTTTGATTCTGCACAAGGCACAGTGGCTGTGCCCCCGTTTAGATGTATGCATGTCTTTTTAGGATATTGACGTGGAGCCGCTCAACGGTGAACTAATGGAAGATGCTATCAAGGTGTCCATTGTGACTGAAGGGCAAACAGCAGGTGAAGTTATAGATGGCGAATCCAAGTTGCAGTCAGACAGTTCAGAGGAAGCAACTTTAACTTTACTTGTCCCGTTGATCCTTGATTCTTCAGTGAAATCCCCTGAATACAGTGATGACAATATTTCAGATAAGGTGAGGGAAATGCAAAAGAGCAGTTTAAAAACAGAATGTCAGGTTGCAGCAAATGACATGACAACTCTGCATCAAAAAGAAAGGAGAAATTCAAAAGAAAGGAGAAACTAAGAATAATATAAGGGAATTATATTATATTCTGTCAAACATTTCCGTCAGGGCTGGGCAACCTGTAGCCCCCTCTGGAGGAGTTTGATGGGCCCCACTGGTTTAGCTTTCTATTGCTGTGCTGCTGGATTCTGAGTGCTTCTACTAGGAAATGAGTTGCACAGGGAGGTTGCACAGAATCACAAAACTGCTTTCAGCTGTAAATCCCCCAGGTCCCTAAAGTTGCCCAGCCCTGGTTTAAATGATCAAATTAAAAGAAAACATTCAGACAGAATATACAGAGCAAAAGCAAATGTAGAAATGTATAAGAAATACACCTGAGAACATACAAGAATTATTATTACAATATAACAGGATATTCGAATATCATTGTAAGGTGTGCTGGATGAAATGCAGAAATCACTGTATTTATGTATCATGCTGCACATGAAAGATGGGGCACATGACAATTAAACCAAATCTATTCTGGTTTTTCTCTTTCCCACAGGAATGTATGAAAGGATTTGAAAAATGGCACTGCTATCCATCCCCATCTCTTCTCCCCACACTCTAATTCTTATATGGAGTCTTTTGGAAGCTTTTGGGTTATAGGGAGGTTGTCCTGGGAACATGACCCAAGTCATTGTGTAATCTCTGTTGGCTGCCTATTTTTTTTTCCTAGGTTCAGTTTTGAAGAGCCTTCAGCTAGGCTCCAGGAGCACTGGGCTTGTCATTTTCTTTGCCTAGAGTTTCTTTTAGTCCTATTGATTGGTTTTGTAGGGTTGTTGTAAGAATGAACAAAACAAAGAAGTACTCTTCAGATTAAAACTCTCCATTTATAACATGAATAAATAACAATAATAATAATAGCAGTCCATCTCTGTCCGTCCATAGGTTGAGAACATGGCAGATGCGGAAATGTCACCAGAAGAGGAACATCCAGCAGTACAAAGGAAATCAGCCCTTGTTCCAAATGCAGATCCTGTTGCAGCAGCCGAAAAGGAAGAGCGTCCCAATAATGGCCTTTCAAACTCTATAGCAAATGAGGGCCCAGAAGATACCACTTCTGAGAATGTGTCTCCCAACACGACTTCCTCCTTAGAAGAGCAAAGCGAAGAGGGAGGGTCTGACTCGCCAGAAGTTCCTGGAACTCTGGGCCAGGGTGCTTTAGTGATGGTTGAACTGGAGGATATCTCATACCAGCAACACACAGAAGGGCAAAAGAACCAGCTGGATGAACAGTCAGAAGAGTCAGCTGAGCCAGCATCAGAGAGAGCTGCAGACAGTAGTTCAGAGGAAGCAGAAATTGAGGTGCCCATAGTAGACAGGCGGACCTTGCGGCGGAAGGCCAAAGGATACAAGGGCCCCCCCAAGAAAAAGGGAAAGCTGATTTGAAACGAGTGCTGTTATCATCCAGTTGGGACAGTTGCTGCTTTATTTTTATTTTTAAAAGAACAAGCTATATTAAACTACATGGAACACTAGGACATATGAGTCACCCCCCCAATCTTATCACTTGGGTATTAATTTCGTATGTTTAATCACTATATAAAGTATGGAAGTAAATGACCAGTCATGCTTTAAAAGAGGAAAAAAAAAGAAAAGCCCATTTTAGTGCAGTTGTTTAAGCATAGTGGTTTCACATCGGCCACATTAGAGATTCTGAGATGGCACATTTTGTGTCATAATTAAGTGATCTGATGGGCCTCTTCATTTACAAGCCATTATGTACAATAACTCACCCCCTAGAAGTGGGCCAAATGGCATTTATAGTCCAGTATATAATTTGTATCAGGTACTTCTCTGTTTCCTACAATAGTAGCCTTGAAGGTCTGTTCTGTATGCTGGGAAGGATTGGATGACACATCTGGGGGTGTGGTGATAACTTCCCAGCCTTATCTGGAGCAGATGTTGTAAGTATAGTTATTTTTCAAGCCCTTTCTCATTACTCTGTAGCAAATTTTAAATTCTCCATTGTAGTAACTGAAATACAAAATATCTGACACTATTTGTACTTAGTGCTGAACATTTTCCCCCTTGCATCTTTAGTTCTTCAGGGATATTATGTCTGTGCTCATGAAGTCAAGTGTTCAATGGAGCAGCTCAACATGATTTATTGGTTTATATTGGAGTCTTCCGGTTATTTCAAGTCTGGGAAATAAAGCATATTTGTCTCTTTTCATAGAAGAAGCCTCTAATATAAATAGAAAACTGAACACAAGAGTAATGAGAAACACAAATAAAAACCTCATATTTGTATGGTTACACTGTTTTTTATAAGTAGCAGCAATTGGGAAGCTTCATAAACAATTTGAGGCAATATCTCTTTTAGTATTAATAATAAAAGGTTCACTTGATCAGCTTTGACAGGTTTGATTTTAATCTGCTAAGAATTGGTCTATTTTGGCTTTCTGGTTGTACAAACTTTCTGGTATTTTCTAATAGCTCTGTTAATTGCTTTTTTAAAAACTCTTGTTTTGGAAAAATGCTGTTTTTTTAAATGCATGTCATGAGAAGTTTTGGATTTGAAGTGTATAGAATTGCTGAGTTAAGCCTGGATTTTCAGGATGTTGCGCATTTTTCTACCAATGTACATTTTGTATATTGTGGATTAGAAGTGTATGTGCAGAAGTCTTAGTTGTTCATAAGATAATATATTCATGTGAACCTTCAGCATTTCTAACATTGATTAAATACTTTCTATGAAGCACATAAAAACTACTTATGGCTTGTGTCTTGTAGTACTAAGATTTTTTCTTTTTGTAAAATAGAACACCTGGATGATTCAAAATTATCTATCTACAGTTTTCCTAGCTCATTAAGTTTAGAATTTTTGAAGGTGCTGGGAGTTGGATTGCAAAGACTTGTGTACAGTCTTTTAAACAAATATAGGATATGAATGTTAGGTGTATTGGACTAAGCTTTAATCAAGTAAACATTTCATGGAATTTTACAGTACTTGCTCTGTAAATCAAAACTACATTTTTGTGAGGTGACTTAACTCTGTATTTCTATGATGGCTTTTGGATTGGTGGCAATTCTGTTATGTTGACAGGTGTTTTACATGTGTTTCCCTTTCCAAATCTTACATTTGTCTTCCTGCTGTAAGGCTACAGATTTTGTTAGTGGAGGCCATTTTTGTTTCATTCCAAAACTTAAAATTGCTCTATAGTACCTTTGCGTGAAAGTGGAATAAAATATTCCCTTGCATGCAAACATGGGAAATGCTTTACATGCATTTAACCAAGACTAGAATGTGTCTTGAGTCATACTTTGTCCCCCAAATTCTAGCAGGTTCATTGGCTAATAGCAAAGCCTAGGAATGCTAAACTGAACTCAGGCCTAAACTAGCCCTTCATGGTTTGGACTACATTTGGACTACCTACAGGATCAGCATTCCTGATCATTGATCATGCTGCCTGAGGCTGACAACAGAAATCAATAATATTTGGAGAACTTTTGGTTTGGGGAAGACTGATTTATATTTTGAAGACCCAGACAAGGGTAATGTACAGCTTGAAAATGAAATTTCTTTCCTGATTGGAGCCAGGTCTGGGTGACCTCATTTCCAGTTAAATGTTAGTTCCTATTCATAGCTCCTTGTGATTTTTAAAAAATGCAGATTTACTACTGTGTGCAATTGAGCTAGAAGTATCACATTACTAGAACTATCCTGAAAGATTGTTTAAAAACAAGCTTGTGAAATATGAATGAAAATGTGATTGAAGGGGACAAATTCTTGAAAGGGTTATTTTGCCATTTAGAACTGATGCATTAAAGACGAGGTCTATAGTGCTGCAAAGGAGGGGAAAATGTATGAATTCCAGAGTAGGGCTCTTACCAGTCGTGATTAAAACATGCTGCAGGACCACCTTCTTCAGCCTAGCCTGTATCTTACAGTAAGTTGATGGTGGCTGCGATAGACTGGATGGTGTAGAACATCTAGAAGACACCAAGTTGAGAAGGCTAGTATAGGACGACTAGATACAAATAGATAGCAGTATTATCATGAACCTGTTTTTAGTTGCCCTCAGGGTTGCTTTTAGCATTCTAGTTCTCTTGGATCTTACTAATGGTTTGGATATCGTACTGCTTTTAATGTCAAGATGTGCTTTACACTCCATGCGTGCTTTGCCATTTGCAGAGCTTTGATTTCATGCAGAATTGTGTCCCCAAATCTATTGCATGAATTTTGTAGTTCCTTGCTGTGTGTTTAATAAAATGTTTTACCTTTTAGCTTAACAGAACTTTTGCAGTCCTTGATTATTACCCACCATTAAGTAAGTTCCAGGACGGTAGTGTTGTCTTGTTGCGCGAACATAAGCAATCTGTATTTCAGGATTCAGTTTTGTACTTGTCGCTATCATTACAGGATTCAGTCCTAGAAATGTCATAAACACGGCATTGGATGCTCTGTAGTCTTCTAATGTTGATAAGCCTCTTAGTATGATGCTGTCCTACACTAGTATTTTGTTTAGTCTTTCAGTTTGTTCCTTTCTAATGTGTATTGTTTCTGAAGTGTTTCAACAGTAATTAAAGTTACTTCTTAATTTTCTGACTTGTTTCAGTGGTTCTCTTCCAAATATTTTAACATTTTTTCTTTCTCCAAGATAAGCTTTTTTGGGTATAGGGAAAAAATGTGGTAAGAATTGTTGGTAGTCAAAGCTCCACAGCTTCTTACACTGCAGCAAGCTCTGGGTTGAATGCTGGTTAGATTCAAGTTGTAGGAAAGGCCTGTGGTAGCAGGGATTGCCTCCCCAATGTATAGTCCACAGAAATATGCTCTGAAGGCTTGAAGGGCTCTGGAGCAGTGGCAGGCGGCAGCAGGGGAAACTGCAGAGGCAAGGAGTCTTGCTATCCTGTATAGCACAGGCTGGTATCTGGTAGCCTTCCAGGTATTTTTGCTTACAGTTCCCATTATCCCTCATGGCTGGTTTGCTGGCTGAGGTTGATGGGAGTTGTAGGCCAAAATCTGGAGAGCCACAGCTTGTCCCACCCCTTGTATATAGTGTGCAGTTCTTTAGATGTGGAATTGAAAATGTATGCATTCCACACAGGTCACTGACTTCCAGAATCTATGATGGGCATCATTTTCATGCGTGCACAGCCTATACTTACGTATGTAGGTTAATGTGTACCTGTTGACATTAATAGAATAACAGCATGTGGTTGTCCTGTTACTACACAATAATAGTGTATAGGGAAAGCACATTTAAATACAACATCCTGTATGGAACATTTGCACAGGTAAGATTAGTAACCCAGAGAATGTTCTACAGCTTTGAGTGTAAAAAACACTTTCAGATTTTTTCTTTGTCTATGCATTGATAATTTCATGTTTATATTCCTGAAATATGGAGCTGGGTGGGTGATTGGACCAAGGTTGCAGTTGGTGCAGAATGCAAGGGGCCTGGATGCTGATTAAGGTACATGGCTAAGCACATATTAGGTCGGCATTGAAACAGCAGCACTGAGTAAAATTCACAACCTTGTAGTTGGCATATAAAGCCCTGAACTGGGTATCATATCACCTGGCAGATCCCTGTCCTCGATACAGATCTGTGCAATTGTGAAGATCACTAGAAGTGCCCTTGCTGGTTGCCATTTTAAAGCAGGCCTCCTCAGTGATAGCACTCAATGAAAAAGACACTAATTGTGGCAAATTTTAAGTCTGTCTCAAGCTTTCCTTGACACCCAGTTTATATCAACTTTTAGTTCTAATGATTTTGAACATTTTAACTGACATAACTGGTACTATGCTACATTTTAATTTCCAAGTTTGTAAACCATTCAGGTATCTTTTAGACATGACAAAATCTGTTATGACATAGTATTAATGTATTTTAATGTACCCTTTTTTTTTTTTTTTTTTACAAATGTAAGGCCTTGCTCTGTATGTTTCCATTTACAGATGTTCTGCTATCTTCTAGCAACAGGGTTTCCTAATGATAATTCTGTGTAATATCCTTCCTCTTGCCAGGCCTTAAATGTTCTGGACCTTTAGGCATCAGGCACTTTTAGGAAGGCCTCTGGTGCTAACAAATCCCATTTTTGTAAAAGCTGTTATTCCTTCTGTTCCTTGCAGTTTTTTTTTTGCAGTTTTGTATTTTTAATGTTTTGCTATAAGGGCCTTTATCCTGCTTTTAGTATTTACTTTTGCCCTAACATACAAGATCTATTAATCAGCACCCAGGTGCCACACCCTCTTGCTAAAGCTATGCTGGTCTAGAACACAAATGCATGAAAAACATGTTAGGCCTTTATATGCCAAGATGACAACCAACACTTTGCTCTCTGTAAGCCGCCCAGAGACTTTTTCAGTAATTGGAACTGCATACAAAAACCTTAAATAGTTAATCAAAAGGTACTTTAGCACTGTTTGCAGTAACAGCTTTCCCTTATTACATGATGATTGAATACACCACCACTTGATGCCCAGAATAAAAAAGTATTTCTTTGCCTGCCTGCATGTACAGAGCATTATTGAAAGAATAAGACATTTATTCAGTTTTCTCAAATTGGGGCTTGGCTAGGAGGGTTCATGTGATGCCACACACATATTAATACATGCATATACAGAGTGGCGGTACTGAACCCCTTGACGAGTGTATGGGGAGCCCTGAAACAATACCCACATGCATGCATGCAATGCTAATGCTTGACCAGGGGTGTAAGCAGTACAAATGTTTGAATATACAATCCCACTCATGTTCATGAATATGTGAACACTGTACAAACTCCCATTTCCATTATGTTTCAGAAATCTAAAATTTTCTTCCCCGAGTTTCTGAACTCTACTCTCTTTTGAAGAACTAGCTGATAAACATCATGCTTTCTACTTGGGTTCCTGGAATTAATTTCTAGAAGCAGTGCCAGATTTAATAAGCCCCTTCCAAAGGTCAGAAATCATTGCAACAATTAGGATTCAGTAAACTTTGATACAAATTAGTGCATTTTATTATTGTTCATCTTCAGTAACAAAAACAGTTCTCAGACTTTCAGTCCTCCGCCTTCAGATGTTGATGCTCTGACACAAGTCCTTTGTCTCCAAATATTCTGAAAGGTTCATCCTTCTGGAAAGCTACTGTGCATGCCCACAGCTGCACTTTGCCACTTATACAAGTAGAACAGCATTAATACACCCATCATTTTCTGGATTGTTGGTTACTTGTGCATATTTTCCTGAAGAAAGAAGCAGAGATTGTATAAGAACAATAAAATGAAATGATAACCTATCCTAAGGTTCATATAAGGTACCAGCTCATTAATTTATTGTCCACACAAACAACCATAGCACAGACTGGCATCTGTCAAAGTTCTCCCCACAGGCAAAGAACTAGTCAACCTTGGTCCTCAATCCACAGTGGCAAAAGCATTTAGTTAGAATGGCAGTGAGGAGTTCAAGTATTTCCAATTCCTTCTTTCTTTGCCACTACAGATGCCTCTTGCCAGATGTTGAGGGAAAGGTTAGTGAGTCACAGCACAAGCACAGTTCCACAAAATCTTGAATAGCTAAGTTGAGCCATGTCTCAAAAGGCACTTGAGGAGGCTGCCTGCTATACTTAAGCATGCATGGTAACTGACGTTCACATCTGATAAGCATAATACCTAAAGGAAAGTAGCAGAGATGAAAATAGGATAAAACAACACCAATAACAAACTCTTAACAAGGAACCTAAAGGAGCTGTTCTTTAAGAGGCTTAGCAGGCATGCAAGAGAACATTAAAGAACAGCTTTCCACAACTTGGTGCCCTTCAAATGTTTTGGATTACAGCTAAGACCCCAACCAAGTAGCTGTGACTAATGGGAAAGGCTGCATTAGTCTTTCCCATTAGACAGCTTTAAAGTAGGGGTGGGAAATTGTACTGAAGGACTGAGAGGTTGCATTGGATCCCCAGAACCCTTCTATAGATACATGCCTCCCATGCCACCACTGAAAGGGCCTGCACAGGTGGAATGTCAGCAGTTTAGCTGAGACAATTGTTCATGGCTTGCTTCCTAGCAGAGTTGCTGGGAATCCAGCTATGGTGGTGGAGGTGGGGCATACCTGGGAGGCAGGGAAGAATTTAGTATGATGCTATTTCTGAATTCATTTTTCTGTTTTGTTTTCTCAAATACAATGCAATCCCCTTTTAAAGCCATCCAAACTCATGGCCATCACTGCATCTTGTGGTAGTGAATTCCGTATGCTTCATGTCACTAAGTTTACAAATTTTCAATTTCTAAGGGACAATTCAGACAGCTGTTGGTATGTTACTGGGGCCCACTGTGACAGTAAACAGTACAGATTACCTCTGAACCAAGTCATATTCTTTCAGCAGGACTGAAAAAGCTTCAGAACATTCACTTCTGCAATGAACTTGAACAATGAGCAAACTTAATTAACCTCCAGTTGTAGCAGGATGGCATTAAGCTATGATTGTGAAGTCAGTCTAGACATCCTGGAGGGACTGCACCACTGGCCATGTTAAATACATACCAATTTTTGCCCAGATCTAATGAACTGAAATAGCAAATACAATAAAGCACATGGGGGCATCCACATATAAAAGAGGCAGGGTGCAATTCTTGCTCCCTGTACAGAATGCCCTACGGGTTGCAGCTCAGACTATTAAAATCAGCCCAGGTATGTTGGAGTTTAAGCCTTTCTTCCTCTCAAAGATGCCATTTGAAAGGAAATTCTCCAGTAACACCATTCTTCAAAACCTCTACATTAAAAGGCAAAATACACTTTTAATATTGTGTCTTTGCTTGGCTTAGGCATGCTTTCTGCCCATTACTTACAGATTGCAACTGATAGTAGATACTTACCCCAGACTACTTTGCCCCCTTGTGTCACAAGACCAAGCTCGCTCACATTCACCTCGATGACTGTACCTTTTGTAATTACCCCCAAAGTTGTAAACAGAGGAGATGAGGGGTTCTTTTTTACACCAAGGATAGGTAGACAAAAAGTGGCTTTAAGTTCTGGATGTGTTACATGGGCCTTCTTAAATCGCAATCCCTGTTTTGTAATAAAAGTAAAAATATTAAATTTGTCACAAGCAGAGATATAGAACAAGAGAATGTAGCCACTTGTACTTCTCCTTGTATTCCAAGCATGCACAATCAAGTTAAGTTTTAACACTACAAAAAGTTAGAAACAGTTCTCGTTTAGACACACAATATTATATGCTAGTTTCTTAATATGTGTGTGTGCATGCTTGTGTATGATTTAACACATAATGTAAATTAATTGAAATCCTTAAATTATTATAGCAATGAATACTAATAATTATCAAAGCCCTTTACAGCCTTACCTCTGAAGTATAGACAGTCCTTATCAGTTCAACAAAAATGGCTTATTTTATACAACATTACAAAAGGTAGTACTCCTTTTTTTTTTTTTCACTGAAAGATGGTAATTAGGGATCAGTAAGTACATATTGATTATCCATGCCATGAAAGTATTTTACCATTGGTCGAATGAATCGTTCATATTTTGGAGGTTTCCGGGTAAAACCATCTCCAACAAAACACACTTTAGTAACCATTCTCTTCCATGCCTTCTTCTTTCTTTTTCCTGTACGGATCACCTTCAGAACTTCTGTCTCACCCTGGGCACGGACTTTGGGTATAGGAACTTCCCATTTCCCCTAGGAAGAACAGCGAGTGTTGTCAGGACAACGGAAATGGTAGACAACTTGGAGGAAACGTACTATGACCCAATAACAATATATAGTTTGACTAGACTGCTTCTTAAAACTGGAATGAACTGTAATTAAGCAAAAATGGTATTACTATGGTTGTGCAGGGGCTTGCAACTTTTGGCTTGGCTCAGTAGCCAGTTATTCTCTTAAAAATAATTTTCAATATGAAATACAATTTAAAAACAACCTTACAGCTAAAAAAAATACAACGTTAAACATTCAATTAATATAATTAATTAAAAGTTGTACTATATAGCAAATCAAGTGAAGCATGTACGGGATATTATATTACAACCCAATAAAGTAATATGCTTAAAGTTAGAATTTTCTCAACTAGAAATAGCCAATTGGTTCTTAACCCTGAGCCACCCATCAAGTCCTTTTATCATGCTGAGATTTACAAGAAGCAGAAGACATGCACTGTTCCATCTTCGTGTCTATTACTTACCGCTTTCTCTTTCCGCTTCTGTTTGATCATGTTGGAGAGAACCTTGGCTCGGGACTGGCCTTCTCTGTCCAGCAGATATGCTGGCACAGCTCCTTCTGGGGTCTTGTCATCATTCTTCTGTTTGGTATTCCTCTTTTCATGCATTTTAATACTAGAAGAATAGATTGTATTTAATTTTTTATCCTGATAAGCACTGGTTGTAAGTTTGAAATGAAAAATGATTAAAAATAGCAGAAGCAAAACACATCTTATATTGATCACTTTTTTAAACAGGGGAACTGACTGAAACATCCTAATTGAGCAGACTATGCAAGACTACCAAGTCATTTCCCCTGAGAGAGCCACAGAGAATCAAAGAAAAGTGCATTCTATCTGGCATAGGTGAGTAAGAACAATGTTTCAAGCAGTAATCAGTAGCTTATTTTCCACTGAGGCCAGGTCTGAACTATTCCATTATTTCATGATCATACTAAAGTAGACCAGTTGTATAAAGAGGCTCTACTCACGTCTTTTTCATCTGTATTTTCTCTGCATGGCGCTGTTTGTGATAAAGTTTGGCTTTCAATCCAATCATTTTCTTGGCTTTCTTTGAGCGTTCATGAGCCTCGCGACCCTCTTTCTTCCTCTTCTTCTCATGGTAATCCAAACGATAACCATATCGCTTCCGGTGTAACTCTATATACTCGTTTTGTGGCTGAAACATTCAAAGAAAATAAATGATAGTAGAATCTAGACAAATTTGAATGCCACAATACACACAGGGCTATCTTTTCAACACATAACAAAAATAATCCCATCGGATTAACTGTTTGACATCTTATACTACAATTAAAATTTGGGGTTTTTATTTAAAGTAGCACATTGATTTCAGAAAGAAAAAAACGTTAAGGTACAATCCTACCCCATGTTTAGCCAGAAAAAATGCTAGAACTCCAGCATTTCCCAGTCAGCCATGTAGGGTTTTTTCCTGTCTAAAATAGGTAGGATAACTTCAAATATTTCAAGACTCTTAGTAAGAAGAAAACAATTTTAAAGAAAGGATAATGGCAATAGGCAAGTGAATTCATGCGACACTTTTGCTACAACATAACAAATTATTTTAGCTGATTATGATTACATAGAGACCTGCTTGTGATTTTGCAACAGTTATTGACATCAGTATTTGAAATCAGGCAGGGTTCAAGGCCCAACAATCACCAAAAGTTAGTAAACTAATCTCCATGGAAAAATACAAAGATCTCAAAGGGAAGCCAATAATGATCACGGTGTCTGTTTTAAAGAAACACCATCACAAAATGCATACAGAAACCCATTGTTGCATGTCTCTTTAATTTTCAATATTTACCATCTAGCTTCTTCCAGAAAAAAAGCAACCACCTATATTACTCAGTCATGAAGAAAAGATAGAGTGAGACTCCAGCATGAGAGAGCTGAATTACAATTTATTCAGCAACTCAGCTCTATTAACTAATAGTATGAAACCAAAAACCACATCTTATTATAAGAGTTAATTAGTATAATAATCTATCAACAGTGCCTTGTGAATTATCACAATTGTATATGCATTTATATTATCATCACAATTTATACTTTTCTCCTCTTTATTTTCCTCTAAACTCACTGCTAACAATCCCCATGCATATATACTTAGGACAAGTTTCCATGCATAAGACCTGGATTCTAATCCCTACAAAGGTTATGCCATAAAAATTTTAGTCTTTAAGATTCTGGAAGGTTTTTGCACAGGCAAACTTCTGAAGAAAATATTAGGTGGAGACAGAAAAATTGCCCTCAAATAGTTTCCGCTGCTGAATCAGACATTTTTTTTTTAAAAAATTGTGCGAAATATTGCCTGTTACTGACATGCCAGCTGATAAAAAGTATATTTAAAGTTAGTCCAATTCTATAGGTGCCTACTCGGAAGCAATCCCCACTGATCCTACAAAGTTTATTCGTAGTTAAGTAGAATTCCAAACTCGGTTATCCAAGTCCTTAGACTAGGAAATTCTATTCGGTCATGTATATAATAAAAATAAATAGCTGGGCCTGCTCTTCGAGGCATCTCAGGAGCCCGACGCACCGGAGCGCATCTCCCTTAAAGAAGCCCCTCGCCCGCGAACTACTCCGAACCGAGGCGGCCGGCCCCTTACCATGATGGCTCCACGCCCTACAACCGGGGAGACTCGCCGTCGACACTCAGCACCCCTCCGTCCCGGGCACGGGACTCAAAAGAAAAGGCCGATCCTGCCGCGAAGAGGCTCCGGGTACAACTGTTTCCGCTTCCTATCGTTCCGCGACAGAGTGGACGGGCTGGACTGTTCGGCTTCCGTGCGCTGGTTCTTTCACTCGCTGTCCCGGTCAGTTTGGGGCCCAGGGAAAAGAAGAAACGTAGACCTACTATGAAAACGTCCCTGTTTCGAATTGTCTTTGAAGTTAGCAGGATGCCTTCAGGAACGAAGTACAGGGAGGGGAAACAAGATCGGGGACACCCAGCGGAAGTAGCGTGTTTTTTCCCCCGGAGGCCGCAGGTGCGACTGTGTCGGCTTGCCTTGCCCTTTCGGGTTTCCTTATTGAGCTTTTCTGAGGCAACAGCGAATGGAGGCTAAAGAGGATTTTGGACGATAGTGGACTGGTTAGAGTCCGGTAACAATAGCGACCTGGTGGAGGCGATGGCATGGTTGCTACAGCATTGAAATATGTATTCTATATGAACTGTTTCATCATTCATCGCGGTTTCATCCGGCGCTCCAGTTAATGAGACGCTCATCGATTTCAGATACGATACATAAGTGCTTGAGTTAACAGTGCTCTCCTTTCTGTAGAAATTACTAACGTTGCCAGGATACTGGATCAACATGCTGCGAGATACACGGAAATTGATAGTGAATCCCATCAAAATGGTATGTTTTACATAGGTGAATTTATCAAGAGATTTTTAATTTAGAAAGGCCTATAAAATGTGCATAGATGAACGCAAGTTGATATCATTAACAGGTTGTCATAGCAAATATAACTGACTAAATATTTTAATCAAGGCTGTGGTGTATGTTGTCGAATCAGCTTGCATACCACAATCTAGAAAGACCATTTTTCTATCTAACAGTATCGTGTTATGTAACCATTTTGCTTTCTTTAATGATGCCTTTTCTCTTTAAAGTGTCTGTATTGCAGAAGAGCAAGAGTTCTGGCTTTTAGAAACTTCAAAGAGTGTTTCACTCTTCAAAGAAATTACAGTTATCAAGGAGGTAACTTAAATCATTTATAATTATAAACTTGTAAGCTCTTTTCAACAACTTTGCCTTAAAAAGGAATTTTCCTTAATCCATTAAGAGCTGTCGTTTCCATACCTAAGTCACCCCTTATAATCGACCAGTGCATGTGTGGGTGACAGAGCAGGGTGGCAGTTCAGCTCTCAGGGGCATGCACAATGTGCTTGCAACATGAAATGGTCGAAAAAGAAATGATTAGCACTATCAGATTTGAATGTGATGATCTAGGGTAAATTTAGGCAACTCCTTCCAACCCTCTTGTATAGGTGGCTTGTAATTTCACCTGACAGTGCTGATAAAGTTGTTTAGCCACAGAGAACCTGTGTAGTTAATGGCTAGAGTGCTGGAGCTCTTGAGATCTGGGTTTGGGTCCCCACTCAGCCATGAGGATCAGTAAGTGATTTGGAGCCAGTCACCGACTCAGCTTAACCTACTTCACAGGGTTCTTGTGAGAATAGAATAGTGAGGAAGGCCATATAAGCTGCCTTGAGTTTCTGGCAAGAGAGAAATAAAAAGAGGGATATAGATGTAATGAATAAATAAAAGGAGGGGACTTGGTGTTCAATAGTAAGTTCTTATGAAAGAGCTGGGAGGTCTGTTCTGAAATATGATCATTAATAGTTATTTAAATAATTATACATTCTTTCCTTTTTCTTTTTCTTTTTCAACAGGGGAGGTGAAGTCTTTGCGCTCAATCATCACTCCACCTGTGTCTAAGTAATTCCTGTTTTCTCTATGAAGAATATAGTAAGGGGCAGTAAATTAGAAGACTGGCAAACTTTTGTGGCAACAACCTTTGCATGTTCAGTTTGATAGTATGGCAGAAACTATGTTAATAAAAATTGGGATGGTGATGTGGTAGACATTTTGCATCATGCTTCTTTATATTTAATATAATTTTATATTTAAGCTTCTTATCAAGAGCAAACTCTCTCAAATTTACTCCTGTCATTCCTTCTTGGCAAGGGAATAAGTTGTTTGTGTCTTGGAAAGCAGAGGAATGAAATATTGCTTAATTATTATAAGTGAGTTCTATTGTTCAGCAGCACTGAAAGGATTACATGGGAAAATTGTGGTCCTATTTACACTTTGTGACTTTTTGACCTCAGAAATTTACAGTAAATCACTGTGGTGTGGCCTTTTAAATTTTCCTTGATCTTAAACTTTTCCATTATAACCGTGAGTAGTGACACACACATTCGGAGGTTGTACAGAAAGGCAGGGCTTGAACATACAGTTCGCAAAGAGATGAGCAGAGTTTGCTCTAATGTATGCAGTTTGTAAAGATGAAATACATTAAAATATAATTTTAGGCTTGTCTGCCATTTTGTTTCCTAGTTGAATTCAAGTTGCTGGTGTTAATAAAACCCTACATGGCTCAGAACCCTAGTACTGCATTTATTGTCTCTCCCAATATGAACCTAACCTGGTCTTTGGGGTGAGTGAGCTGCAGAGGGCCTTTTCTGTGTGCTCAATACAAGAGATGCTTGGAGAATGTTAGTACATGTGCAGACCTTTTCCGTGTTCACCCCATGTTTCTGAAACACTCCTCAGGGAGATGACCCTGCTATCTTTTTGGTGTCAGGCAAAGATGCACTTATTTTCTTAGGCACTCAGACATTAGTTTTGGCTGAATTGTTATTGGTTGCTTTAGTGAGATAGGCTGTGAATGGGGAGGAGATTTTGTGGATGAATGCTTTTTATATTGCATTGTTTTCAAATGTTTAGTGGTGTATATTTGTATTTGTATTATTCTGCTGATGATGGTTTATACAGGTTTCAGGGTTATCCTGCCCCCTTGCCTCCTGTTGTATTGGTCATAGATTCCTTTCCTGTATATGCAAATTGCTTTGAGGCAGCTTCTCCTAGTGGGAAATAACACATAAATGTAATAAAAATTAATATGTTCAGGTGCTAAATTAAAACTCTTTGCTTTTCTTTTATATAGAATCCGCAACATTGGTATTATGGCTCATATAGATGCAGGAAAAACAACCACCACAGAAAGGATGCTGTATTATTCTGGGTACATTAGAACTCTTGGAGGTTAGTGGTGTGTGGGTATGTGTGTGTGAGAGAGTGAGAGGCAGAGAATTTTAACTACAGTGATTCACACAATTTGAGAAACATCATCTGCTTTATGGAAAGCTTATTTAGTATTTTACAGCCCAAAACTGCATCTCCGGTAATTTGGCTGCTAGCACATTTTGTTCTTACCATCTTTTGGGCTGCTGACCTGACTAATGGCTGCTTTCGACAACTTTTGAAGCACCGAGTCCATCTACTTTGACAATAGTGGTGTGACTTCATAACTAACAACTAGTCCTAATTTGCCCCGCCCTCCATCATATTTCATTTAATGCTGCATCTTTTAAGCTGTGATGCTTACATTTTTAAAGTGTGGAGGTTTTGCTCATCACATCAAGGTTAAGATACTGACTATCATTACCCTTGCTATTATTTTCTGACAATGCACCTCACCTCTGAATTTGCTGTTTGTCCAACATCATGCACTGTTCATTTGTATGTGTGCATCAGGATAGCCTAAGTTCCTTGCAGTAGTCTGAGAAATTCAGCATCTTGCTGCACTAGTGCAGGAGGTGCTGGTTCCTTTATACAATCGTAGCCGCAACATTGATGTCCTATGCAGCTAGCCCAGTCTTTGACTTTAGAACTGAATTCTTACAGATTTGTATAATAGTATTCTAATTATTTTACATTTATTTTATTCTGATGAAATGAATCTTCATTTTTTCTTTGACTGCACTGGAAACATACATGCTCATCCTATTAAACAGATGTTGATGATGGAGATACTGTAACAGATTTCATGGCACAGGAGCGAGAGCGTGGCATTACCATTCAATCTGCTGCTGTAACTTTTGATTGGGAAGGCTATAGGATCAACCTGATAGACACACCAGGTACAATTTTTAAAAATGATTTTTAATTCTAACAAGTGTGATAAAGTAAAATGTGGCAAAGTAAATTCAGCTGGCACTAAAAATGTGACTTTATGGATAAAATCTTGGATACTTCCTCTTCTGAATTACTGTTTTTTACTTGAGGGGGAATAGTTATCTTAGGCTCTTTACTGTGCAATCTCAATTAAAATGAATAGGAACAGAAATGGGTAGAAAGCAGGAGAACCTCCTGCTGGATTCTGCTTATTAGCAAGAAACCGGTAAAGATTAGATATACTGTATATCACAGAAGTGAGTTCACCCCTCACATTTTGTAAATATTTTATTGTATCTTTTCATGTGACAACCCTGAAGAAATGACACTTTGCTACAATGTAAAGTAGTGAGTATACAGCTTGTATAACAGTGTAAATTTGCTGTCCCCTCAAAATAACTCAACACACAACCATCAATGTCTAAACTGCTGGCAACAAAAGTGAGTACACCCCTAAGTGAAACTGTCTAAATTGGGCATTATTAGCCATTTTCCCTTCCCGATATCATGTGACTCATTAGTGTTACAAGGTCTCAGGTGTGAATGGGGAGCAGGTGTGTTAAATTTGGTGTAATTGCTCTCACTCTCTCATACTGGTCACTGGAAGTTCAACATGGCACCTCATGGCAAAGAACTCTCTGAGGATCTGAAAAAAAGAATTGTTGCTTTACATAAAGATGGCCTAGGCTATAAGAAGATTGCCAAGACCCTGAAACTGAGCTGCAGCACAGTGGCCAAGACCATACAGCGGTTTAACAGGAGAGGTTCCACTCAGAACAGGCCTCGCCATGGTCAACCAAAGAAGTTGAGTGCATGTGCTCAGCGTCATATCCAGAGGCTGGCTTTGGGAAATAGACGTATGAGTGCTGCCAGCACTGCTGCAGAGGTTGAAGGGGTGATGGGTCAGCCTGTCAGTGCTCAGACCATATGCCACACACTGCATCAAATTGGTCTGCAGGGCTGTCGTCCCAGAAGGAAGCCTCTTCTAAAGATGATGCACAAGAAAGCCCGCAAACAGTTTGCTGAAGACAAGCAGACTAAGGACGTGGATTAGTGGAACCATGTCCTGTGGTCTGATGAGACCAAGATAAACTTATTTGGTTCAGATTGTGTCAAGCGTGTGTGGCGACAACCAGGTGAGGAGTACAAAGACAAGTGTGCCTTGCCTACAGTCAAGCATGGTGGTGGGAGTGTCATGGTCTGGGGCTGCATGAGTGCTGCCAGCACTGGGGAGCTACAATTCATTGAGGGAACCATGAATGCCAACATACTGAAGCAGAGCATGATCCCCTCCCTTTGGAGACTGGGCCGCAGGGCAGTATTCCAACATGATAACGACCCCAAACACACCTCCAAGACGACCAATGCCTTGCTAAAGAAGCTGAGGGTAAAGGTGATGGACTGGCCAAGCATGTCTCCAGATCTAAACCCTATCGCGCATCTGTGGAGCATCCTGAAACGGAAGGTGGAGGAGCGCAAGGTCGCTAACATCCACCAGCTCCATGATGTTGTCATAGAGGAGTGGAAGAGGACACCAGTGGCAACCTGTGACGCTCTGGTGAACTCTATGCCCAAGAGGGTTAAGGCAGTGCTGGAAAATAATGGTGGCCACACAAAATATTGACCCTTTGGGCCCAATTTGGACAGTTTCACTTAGGGGTGTATTCACTTTTGTTGCCAGTGGTTTAGACATTGATGGCTGTGTGTTGAGTTATTTTGAGGGGACAGCAAATTTACACTGTTATACAAGCTGTATACTCACTACTTTACATTGTAGCAAAGTGTCATTTCTTCAGGGTTGTCACATGAAAAGATAAAATATTTACAAAATGTGGGGGTGTACTCACTTCTGCGATATACTGTAAATTCTCCATAAATTTTAAAAAACCACACCTTGTGTTTCATAATATAATCATCTAACATTTAAATCCACCAAGGATTGTTTCTAGATACTTGGACTAGATACTTGTGGTTTGGTTTTAAGGCTGAATCATAGAATATTTGAAAGGGGCCAGAGGGCCATCAGGTCCAACCCATACCTATTAAATGCCTACCCATTAACGATGAAACTGTACAGTGTTGTTAAAGAAATATTGCTTAATATTAAGGTATCAAAATTGTTTCCTCTTATTACTTTTGAATGAAAACTGGACTTTAGGTCATGTGGACTTTACAGTGGAGGTGGAACGTTCTCTGAGAGTGCTGGATGGAGCAGTGGCTGTATTTGATGCTTCAGCTGGGGTAGAGGTAAAAATGACTCTGTAGTGTGCCATGGCTTTGTTTCATGTTACTTGTGTTTATATAGCCATAATTTTAATTGTGAAGAACTTAGGGCATTGAAGCTGCTCAGTCCCCTGCCTCACATTTAAAGTATGTCTGTCTTGGATCACATGTTTTTATGTCACAAGCAGGAGGAGCAGGGAAGGTTTACAAGCCTTTTGGAATTGTTCAGTGATGTCAAAGCAGTTCTGCATCATGTTATCCTGCAAACTACCCCAGGAGGAATACTTACTCTCTGGGAAGCAGAATTGCATCCCCTGCATCAAAACATCAGTCATCTTTCTTGGACTGAACAGCAATCCGTCAAGTTCAGCGTTCTTGCTTAGTTGCTGTCAGATGTGTTTTGTAGTTTTCAGTTACAGAAATACATGGAGGCATCACGGAGTGGCTTCAGTTACAAATAGACCAAGATTGTTGTTGGTTTTTTTAAGAACTTAGAAAAATAGGGCTATTACTGCACTCCAGTATTATGATGGGCAGCTGTTAAAAACCTTTTTTCCATCCCATTCCTTATTAGGATCCCTACTGTATCTACCCCTTACTTGACTTTTTTCTAACCTAAAGAACTTCAGACTCTTCAGCCATTTCTCCAACTTCTTGATCATTTTCCTCCAGACCTTTCAATCAGCTGCCATCTTTCTCTCGTCTATTCTTATTCATCTCATTTTTGTTAAACCCTGAGTTCCTATCTCATCTTTGTTGCTACCATTTTAGTTAGGGGTTCTATCCAATGTTATGCCTACTTTGAGCAGATGTATTGAAATGAATGAAATTTAAGTTAGCCTAGCATTAGAGCTAACTTCAAAATTCTCAATTGCTATGATTTAATTTAGATGTTGAACTGAAAAGATTACTGTTTTCCTTCTCTGCTTAGGCCCAATCTCTGACAGTCTGGAGGCAAGCTGACAAGAATCATATTCCACGTATTTGCTTCTTGAACAAGATGGACAAAAATGGAGCAAGGTACTAAGATGCCTCTTCTCTTTCAGGGCCAGTCAAGCTAGGAAAGCCACATGAGGACATGAGAATGCTTTCTAATTACCCAAGAGTCTTGTAATTTGATGGCAGATGAACGTTAACCTTTAGTAGTCCCTTTGATTCCTTTTAAATGCAAATAGTCACCTGCTCCTTGATGATCAGGCAAGGTAGCTTCGTAAAAGTTGCTTGATTCATCCTTTGATAACACAAATAACTAAGATAGGGTGTGCATAGAGAGGTCTGAAAAAGAATGTTGTGAATGACTGAGTTTTGTGGATACTTGCAAGAGTGTTTTAAAATGCTTAGTTAGAGAAATTAGATAATTTTAAATACAATTTTTTTCGCATTGTGGCTAAGTCTGACATTACAGGCCTATTAAGCTGTTTTAGCTGATGTGTCAAAAACTTCCATTTGTCCTGTAAGCTGGGCTGTTTCCTAGGGAAAGCCTCATTCTGTCCATTTGTTATTTATTTGTTATTTATTTATTAAAAAATTTTTATGCCGCCCCATTCGCCGAAGCCTCGGGGCGGCTTACAACAATAAGTTAGGTCATAAGTAAAAATTAAAACATATACATTAAAATAAAATACAACTATACAATATAAAATAAGCCGCCCTGGCCAGATAAAATTCAATAATATTAACATTTAAAATGCTGCTTAAATAAAAAGGTCTTCGCCTGGCGCCGAAAAACAAATAACGACGGTGCCAGGTGGACCTCCCTGGGGAGTGCATTCCATAACTTAGGCGCCACCGCTGAGAAAGCCCTCCTCCGAGTACCTACCCTCCTAATTTCTTTCACGGAGGGTTCCCGGAGAAGGGCCTCTCCCGCCGATCTCGGGGCGGCTGGGCATATAAGGATGTAAGCGCTCCTTATTAGGGGCTTCCTGTGTATTAGCCATCCTTTCAGGTTCCAGGATGGCACATCTGGCAGCTCAGCATCTGAGACATGCATATGCATGGCACACAAGCCCGTATTGCACTATAACTGACTTGCTGGTTCTGTGCAAAGGGCCTTCTGTGGCATGCCCGCGTTGAAACAAAAACAAAGTGAGTCAGAAGGGTCCCCTGGGCCGTCTAGTCTGACCCCCGGCTCCAGCCAGCTTCGTTCATGTAATCCCCAACACATGGTTGCCCAGTCTTTCCTCGAACACCCTCACTGATGGGGCCTCAGCCATCTCCCTTAGAAGCCCATCCCATATCCTGAAGTGAGCGTGGGAGCAGCTTCCTATGTCAGCGGTGGCTACTAATGCCAGGCCTGTGTCCAGTTAACACAACTTGACATGCTGCACTGGGTGTCCTTTGTCTGATGGGTCTTATTGCCAGGGAGAGCCAGAGGCTATGTAATCAATTCAGGGTTTTTAATCTTAATGAACTGTTAAGCTAGCTAGTATGTACCATTTATAGTTCAATTGTTTTATGTATAGCTGAAAAACTACATTTCGGGAGGTGTAGAATTGGAGAACTCAAGTGTTGGGAATATTGCTGAGGTGTTTATTTTCTGGTGCTGTTTCCTGTATTAGCTCCTTCCTTTTATTTTATACTGAATGAAGGGAGCAGGCTTTTTTCAAGCTAATGGTATCGTAATTTGTCTTCAGTTTCACCCTTGCAGTTGAGAGTATCAAGCAGAAGTTGAAGGCTAAGCCTTTGCTTTTACAGGTAATTCAAGTAACTATCAACATTAATTAATACATTTGATTTACAGTTTGATTAGTGCTGTTTAATACCTTGATACTACTGGGCCCTAACTAATAGTTTTCTTTTTAAATTCCATACAGTTGCCCATTGGAGAAGGAAAGAGTTTCAGGGGAATAGTTGATGTAGTGACCAAGGAACAACTTGTCTGGAAAGCAGCTGCTGAGTTAGATGATGGAAAGATGTTTGAGCGGAAATGCTTGACTGAAACTGATGATCCTGACTTGTTGCTGGATGCCACTGATGCAAGAACTGCCTTGATAGAACAAGTAAAGTTCTAAAGTAAATATATAAATGTTTGAAATCGTAGTATTGTAAGCCATCCTGAGATCTTGTATAATAGGATGGCATACAAAAGCTGTAATTAATTAATCCAGAGATGTGGCAGTACAAGGGGGTGGGCAGACACAGCCTTTTCTAAGGGTCAGGAAACCTTCCTGATTGGCTGAGAGGATGGGGGATGTTGCTGAAAATTGAGCAGAGCTGCCTTTTATGGGCAGGAACACTACTGCCAAGCCCCTTCAGGAGCATTCCCTGCTCAGGAGATGTCTTTCAGGGAGCTGCTCAGTGGAGGAAAGAGTGGGATCCAAGCAAGTCTATTTTTATTTACTCCTTTCAGCTCCAAAAACAATAAAGCCATTTTGAATGAAGAGTGGACAATTTAGCAGTCATCTGTGATAGCAGATACACGTTGACACTGACATGAAGGATCCAAGATCTTAGTCCTTAGCTGGTCAAAATATAAAGAACAAAACAACAAATATTTAATGGCTTTGAACCTTTAAGAAAAGTTAATTATGTTACCAATTAAAACATGTAATTTTTCAAGGAAAGTGTCAACATGCACTTTATGAGGCAGCCCTGAAGGATGCTTAATGTATGACATCTTCCCTTTATTTTTAAACTTACATTCGGCTATATTGGTCTGAGGGCCCTCTAAGTAGATTACAGTCAAATGAAAATGCATCATAACAATGACAATAAAAACAAGTGATTAAAACTCAATAAGCAAAAGACAAAGTGAAACAGGACACAACTGAGGGCAATTAATCTAAAACTCTATAAAATAAAAGAACAGTTTTAAGATTCTTATTTTCATTTTGAATTCTAAATTTGAATTCACTTACAATTCTAAATGGCTAGTTTTGGAAATTTCTAAAATTCTGTTTAGGTTGAGGTTAGTTATATAGACTAGTTGAGGAGGACTAACCTGGATAATGTGTCATGACAGCAATTTAAGAATGTATTTGCTTTCTAAGCTTGCAGATCTGGATGACGAATTCGCTGAATTGGTCCTTGGGGATTTCTGTGATAATCTTGATTCAGTACCAGTGGATGAGGTATGTAGCTTTGCTTGATCATTGTATGAATTAGATGTTATAAACTTTTCAGTGTGCCTATATATTGCACAGTGGAGTCCTCTTCTAACAAATATGTCCTAAGAGTGATGCAGCTAGTCTCAATTTTTAGAAAGGAACGACAAGGTACTATACCAGATTGCATTGCAAAAATATGTTTTGGTGATGGGAAAAATGAGATGGTGGCAGGTAAGGAGGGAAGAGTTTTGATATTGCTGTAAATCTGCAGGTACATGATATATTGTCAGTACCTGGAATTAAGGAAACTCTCCCTTCCCAGGATGACTGGATAATTATCTTCTGTCATGATGTCAGTATTTCAGGTCAGACACAGTCCTAACACTGCATTCCTATGTATGATTTTTAACTGGCTTTTTAAAAGCCATGCAAATTTATGACCAGTCCTCCCAGAATGCCATTTGTGCATTCAGAATGCAGTTCAAAGGCAATGTTTGAGCTACAGTACATAATGTCCTTACAGCAGGCTTCTTAGCCTACATGTTAAACTGAATCTTAAGTAGATATGTATGAAAATGGAGACTCTGCTTGATGCAGTTACATTCTGCTGTACGAAGAATAACTCTCGCTCAGAAAGCAGTGCCTGTGTTCTGTGGAAGTGCACTGAAGAATAAAGGTGTTCAGCCATTGCTGGATGGAATCACCAAGTATTTGCCTGCACCAGATGAGTGTCGCCATGACTTTCTGTGAGTAAGAGAAAATGGCGTGCCTTCACGTGTTTGAGCATAGGTTGGGAAAACGATGAAATGGAAAGTATGTATTAACACTTTAAAGTGCAATAGCAAGCCTGTTACAGGCTAGGGTTCTGAGGCTGAGAGTGACATCTGGAAATATACATACTGCAGTGAGCTGGTGCCTGGAGCGTGTGTGCATGGTTGAGGGCTCATGATCCCAGTTCTTTCTGTAAAGCAAGCTTTTTTGCTTCTTTGTTTCAGTCTAGCTAGATTAGGACCTATTACAATTGTTCAAATATCCAGTGAAATACCTCATTTATTTTAGTATTCAAATGCTGAGTAAATTTAGCATCCTGACTTAGTGGGTATGCAGCTGAAAATCTGTTGGATTTTGTTTTTCAGGCAGTGGTACAAAGATGACTTGTGTGCTTTGGCATTTAAAGTTCTCCATGACAAGCAGCGTGGGCCACTGGTTTTTTTGCGTATTTACTCTGGCAAAATGAAGCCTCAGTCATCTGTGTATAATATTAACAAAAAATGCACGTAAGTCCAAAGGGAAGGGTGTGAGCTTCATGGGAGGTATGGATGCCTCAACAAAAGTGATATCTTAACACAAGCCATCTATTACAGAGAGAGGATGAGTCGTCTGCTCTTGCCTTTCGCTGATCAGCAAGTAGAAATTGCCTCACTAACAGCTGGCAACATTGTCCTGACTGTTGGGTTCAAACAGGTAAAAGGAAAAAAGTGAATCTAAAATGTTTCTGTAAAATTGCATCAAATGTGGGAATTGAACCTTTTTGCTTGCAAAATTGCAAAATTGACTGATTTATATATTTTATAATATGGGTTAGGAAATCCCTTTGTAGCTATCAGGAAGCAGCACATAAGGCTTACTGTGAAATCCTAGATATTGCTACTCAGGAGTAAGCTGCATTAAGTTCAGTGCAATTTAATCCAAGGTAACTGGGTACAAGATTGCAGGCTTGGCTTTGTAGTAAGGAATAATAGGTGGGACTTTCTCACTTTTCCTTTTAAATACAGTTCTTTATACTAGCAAAGAAAAACAGTGGGAGAACTTGGTTTGATACAGAACAAAGAACTTGCTTTAATTGCTGTCATATTAAATTGGGTTGTCTTTCAACTGGGAAAAGACCACATTCACTAATTGGTTACTTTTCAGTGATTTTAATGATGAAAACCAATTATGTTGACAATGCAACATGTCATTTGTTGTTTGGCATGCACCAGACCGCCACTGGCGACACCATTGTTTCATCAAAGTCTTCTGCAGTGACTGCAGCTCAACAAGCTGGAAGAGATGTGGGGTCAAAGCACAGTCGAACCAGTGAAGTAGAGAATCTTCTTTTGGCTGGCATTGATATTCCAGAGCCAGTCTTCTTTTGTACAATAGAGCCACCGTCTATGGCCAGGCAACCAGGTACAATGCAGCTCCTGAAAGAGATGCTAGCGTATTCTGAATGTGTACATGTTTGTGAAGAAACTACGCACAGAAGCGTAAATGTGTTTAAAAAGGCTCTCTTGCTTAGCATCTGATATCACTTGTGGAGCTGGGGTGGGATAAATGCACTTGGCTAATTTATAAATGTTTTAGGAGCAGAATCCTATGCATTTTGAGATAGGCAACAGTCTTACCACTTACAGCAGGGCTGGCTGGAGAATGTTGAGAGTAGTACGATTTTCATTTTTCCATCTAAATAGTCCCAAGCTCATTAAATATTATAAGTAGCTTTTCAGTTCCTGGGTAGGATGCCTAATACAAATTCTAAAGCTAGGATCTAATGATCTATTGAACTAGCTTCATATGCTGAGGATTAACATGGTTAGCAGTCCTCTCTGCTACATGATAATAGATTGCTTGAAATTGGCTTGGGGTGTTTCAGAAACAGTGTATAATATATCATCCTCAAAGGGAGGGGAGGAAAAATACCTCTTTGGAGGAGCATAAGCTTGAAATAGTTCTTCAGTTTCTGAGCTGTCTTCTTATTCCCCTCAGTTTTGAATTACTTTTCTTCCCTTGCATGGTGGACTTCTGGTCTAGGTTTTCAGTTGGAAGGCAGAATCGTATAATAGATAGTAAACAGGTATAGCAGCTGGTTGATTCAGCAAAGCTACTTGAGATTTAGTTGCACGGTTTTACCTTTCTTTGATGAGAGAACCAGGAATATTTTTGGGCCAACTTTACATCCATTACTTGGGAACCACCTCTTTCCCCTATCTTTAATTGCCACAGATATGCATGTCTACAGTCTAGTCTGGGTTAAAGCCAGATATGCTGCTTATACCTAATACAATCCATGCTTTGAACTCTAGATCTGGATAATGCCTTGGCGTGTCTGCAGCGAGAGGATCCAAGTTTGAAAGTCAAGATGGATGCTGACACAGGGCAGGTAAGTCTACAGCATCCACAGATGCCTGCAAAATTCTCCACTGTCCCTTCGATAAAATGTTTAAATAAATTCCCCGGAGAGCATTCGGCAGTCTTCTTTTTCTCACTTTCTAGCCTGCTTCTATCCATCTGTCTCTTTAGCTCACTATTTGTCCCTAACACTTATCCTTTAACCTTGCTCCTTTTCCTACTCCTTTCCCTTGTTCCTTCCTTCTCCCTCCCAGCTGCTAGCTTCAGCTTTACTCTCCCCACTTTTCCTTCTTTTTCTCTTTTGCCTCCCCTCCTAGCTTTATCTTTACTTTAAAAGGTCTCCTTTTAAACCTTGATTGCTATTTTCTCATCTCTGCTTTGAGCCACACTCTTTCTCTCCCCTTAAGCACACCTCTTAAGCCTTGCAAGGCCCCCATGGCAGCCACTATGTGACTAATCACAACCTTAGTGGAACCATTTTGTGGTGGTGCCCACAAATTCTCAAATGCCTGCAGGTCCAAAAAGGTTGGGGATCCTTGTCTACAGGGTCCAATGATTACTTTTTTCCTTTGTCATGACCCTCTTTGGAAGAGAACAAAGGAACACCCTTTGAACCATTGTCATAGTTCATCTAGTACTTTTGATGTTACTGTTAAGGCTGCTTTAAAACCTTTCCCAGACTATTCTTTGTGGCATGGGAGAGCTGCACATTGAGATCATTCATGACCGAATCAGACGTGAATATGGACTTGAGACTTACCTTGGACCTCTTCAGGTAGCTTACCGAGAAACAATTGAAAACTCAGTTCAAGCTACAGGTAAGACTAATATTAAGGACCTGCAATTGAATCACTTGACTTGACACATTACAAGTTAGCTTTCTTGAGTATGAAATTTGGCACAATCCATGGCATTTTACTTTTATTTCAGATACACTGGACAGAACTATAGGAGAAAAACGACACCACGTCACAGTGGAACTGGAACTGAAACCCTGCGTAGGAGAAATGTCAGTTACTGCACCAGTCATTGAGTATGCTGAAAATATCTCTGACTTGCTTCAGCCAGACCTTCGTGAAGCTGTAGAAAATGGTATCCATTCCTCATGCCTTCAAGGTAAAAGCCACATCAACATTTACTTTGAATTTGTTGGAACTGTTTGATGAAAAATGTGATGTGCTAATTTTTCTGAACAGTTCTTAGAGGCAAAGCATTTGCATGCATTAGCTGCATGGGGCAGCATTGTCTTAAAATCTGAGCGCTGCAGCCTTTAGCACTTAGTTAAGACAGACAGATACATTCAGAAGCCATTCTGTGGATAAAATAAGCTGTAGGTTTAGTGCCATAACTAAGGAAATACCCGCATGCAAGCAGCTAAGCTCAGTTGAGGGATGACTCACCATGTGCTGTTTCTGAACAACCTTGAAGGACTATAGGTGATGCAACAGGTTAGTTTTATCTGCCTAATTACTGACTTCCTGATATACTTTTTATTTCCCTTTTCCCCAGGATTACAGGAAATTTGGAATTCTGATTTAATTTAGCTTAGTTTAGTTAATACTAAGTATATTTCTTTAAATGTTTACCAGAAAAGATGCATAGATATTGCACAATTTCATGTTTTTCCAAAGTTTATAACTTTTTTTTAAATGGGATGATTAACTGGGCTTGCTGTCTATGATCTGCTGTCACTGCATGTCCTCAAGAAAGCTACTGTCACTGCCACTAAAACACTCAAGGCAGAAATTAAGAAATGACGTCTTCATGCCTTCATGTGAAAGCTCATTCAGCATTAAAATGCTGATGCATTATTTGTTCTTCCTACCATAGGACCACTTCTGGGGTTTCCTGTTCAGGATGTGGTAGTGACGGTGCACACTGTGGCTGTAAACCCTGAGACGTCTTTGACAATGGTTTCTGCTTGCAGTGCTCGATGTGTGCAGAAGGTATATGGAGCCAAACGGTTTTGCCTAGGCCAGGTGCAGCAGTAAGCCTGTGTGCCCCTCAGTAGTTCTCTTTGTTTGGAAGCAGTTGTCCATAGTTGCACAGTATTTTGGTGGGACATTTTTGAATCTTCAAGATTAAAGCATGCTCGTTAAGTCAATACTGAACAGTAAGTCAGTACTGAACAATATTCAGTATTGTTGTCTGTTTTACTTCTGTTCTAGCGTTTCATTTCTTTGCTGCGAAATGTGGTGTTCTCTCTGCTCATGCACAACAGGAAAAGGTGTAATACAAGTTGGCCCAGTGATCTATATATCTGTATTAAATATATTGCTCTTTGCACTGAACAAGTATCTGGTTTTAAGGATGTTGTAATTTTGCTTGTTAGGCTTTGAAGAAAGCTGATAGAAAACTTCTGGAACCTCTCATGAACCTGGAAATAACCATGGGTGATGACCACCTTGGTGTAATTCTTGGTGATCTTGCACAGAGAAGAGGCAGTATTCAGGAAATTCAGAGTCGCCAAGATAACAAAGTGGTGATTGCATCAGTCCCACTAGCAGAAATGATGGTACGTTGTTTTGCTGCTGGAAACTGAAGCTGCTATTTATCTTGATCTGTGCTCCCATCTTAGAAACTGAAACTCAGTTTACCCTGAATTTTCATCATGGAACATGGCCATTGATTTTTTTAGGTTTGTCCTAGCTTGACTATACCTCATGACCAGATATAGTTCCTTTACAGGAGTCTGACCACCTAAAAGAGCAGCCTCCTTAGACAGGAGAGGATCAGCTGGGAACAGGCATCCTTCTGGAAAACTCAGAAAACAAAATCCTACTTGAACTTGCAGAAAAAGGCAAAAACGGCATGTTGTTTAGCTCCTTTTCTGTACTGTTCACACCATCACCTCCTTCAGTTAGCACTGTCATGTATTCTACTGTGTTACTTGTAGCAGAAGTAGAAGGAAACCAGGCAAACTTCCCAGTTAAATCACTTTGACCTCGTCTCTCCCTCAGTTTTGGGGGCTTCTGCTGGCCATCCCTTCTGAACTCTTTGGGTCTAGATGCCTTGCTCCTAAGCAGTGCAGTTTGAGGTTTTCCCTCTTTTTATTTTACTCACTAGTATTTTTCATTTTAAAACATTATCTTTACTTTCCACCTGAATTAATTTGCCCATCTGCCAAGTCCCATACCTTGGCACTAGGAAGGGTCTTCTCCAACTTGGATCTCAGTCCACAGGAATCTATTAGAATAGATAGATCGCTATAATTTTCCTTTTCATTCCATCCCATTTCCCTAAAAGCTTGGACTACACTGTTACATAGACGAAAGCTTTAAGAATTGCATTTCACTGGTCTATACAGGTAAGAGTTTAGGTGGAACTAATTAAATTGCTGGTTTGGTCTGTGAAACCAGCAGGTATGTCACAGCTGTTGTGTTTCATGCTCCAATAATGCTTTTCCTCAGCGAAAGTTAAACTTTAGTTTACTTCAGCCAAAATGTTCTTTGCTTTTAACAGTGATGCAGCTTTGTGGTTCATGGATACAAATGGTCATCTTCATTTAATTTTTTCTTTATTTTTCTAATTTTTTTCTATAAAATGGCTTGTGTGCCAAGTTTTCATTTGTTTCAAAAGTTAAATGCCATTTGCTGTTTTCCTAATTGTTTTTTCAAATACATCTAACTTTTACATAGTCTTGGTTCAGCTCTGCTTCTACTCACACATTGACACACAATCATGGCACTGTGTTGGGGCTCCTCCTTTGTTTAAAAACTCCTCAAGGTGTTCCTGTAGAACATCTTTTCCTTGTCTTTGAATTAGTCATTGTCCTCATGTGAGTTAGAGCATGTTTCAGTGGATAGAGCTTATTTTGTGATGTATTATTAATTCCATATTTTGGTTTTTTCCTAGGGTTATGCAACAGTTTTGCGCACTTTGACATCTGGCACTGCCACCTTTACATTGGAATTAGCAAGCTACCAAGCAATGGGCATTCGTGAACAAACAGTTCTGCTTAATAAGAGGAGTGGTTTGGCATAACGTTAATGAACAAGGACTTGTTTCCCCTGTGAGACTAAAAGAGGTTTGTCTGTTCCAGTTTCATTTTGTGATTGGAATAGATTATATGCTGAAGGACTAAAACTGAAACCGTAGTCAACTGCTAGTTCTGCGTTTTCTGTATCATTACATTGCAGGCTAGTGGTTTTCTACTTACAGTGAACTGGAGTTCACAGTACTTTCCTTCCAGTATTTAAATGAAAACTGGTACCCAACCAAAGGAAGCCATGTCGAGAAAATCCCTTATAAAAGATGTTGTAATCCTTGAACGTTTGCCTCTAATTCTGCACCCCACCTAACCTAGATCATCAGAACATTATCATTCTTCCATCCACCCACCCAGTCTTTGCTTATATACATCCACCCCTCAGCCTGAAATATGTACCTCTTTCCCTTACTGTGTCTGCAGTTCTCCTCTGTATGGTCACTCATTTCCTCTCTGCTGCCTCCCTCCATGATGTACATAGAATAGGGGAAGGCAATTTGGTGTGCCATCCAGACATGTCGTACTGCAGCTCCTGGAACCTCAGGCAATTGGCCCTGCAGGCTCAGGCTTACTGAAATTATAGTTGGAAACATCTGGAGGTTGCTTACCCCAAGTCAGTCTTACTGGCCAGTTTGTTCTTCTTGCACCACAAAATAAATGCTGTTTCTATTGAAAAAGAAATCATGGCTGTGTCACGGAGCTGGCACCTATGGTGTATGATTTTCTATTTCATTAAGTGGGGAAAAAAGTAGTGTTTACAGCTGGATTATGCAGGGATTTCAGCCACATTGTTATTAAAACAATTTTATTTAAAAACTATCTCTCATACTCTTTCATTGTCAAAAAAGCAATTATTTTGAAACATCTGAAAAGAGAATTCCATCATTTCAAAATTAAAATAGAGTACTTCAGTGCAACTATTCAGCCAGGAATGGGCAGGCTTCCTTCCCAAAAGGCACTACTGTAAGATTCTGTCAGTATGTTATGGGTCTCTTTCTTCACTGCGACAGTATCCAACAAATAAAGGCTGTGCTGCTATTCCACGCCTGTGGGTGAGATAGAAAAAGGTGTGATTTCACCTTTGGCAGTAACAACAGTCCTACAACTTAGCTGCAATTAGACTTACTAAACCGCTTTGTGAAACAACATCCCTTGACTTTGCTCCTGGATCAGTGTTCCCAGGTAGCAAGGAAAAGGGCTTAGAAATCTGCATGTTGTAGCTTTATTTAGTTCATGAGGCTAAATAAAATCTGCTTCTTTTTTTACATAGTTTTACTTTGCCAACTGACTAATCTCTATCCTGTGTCAATGCTGCTCAAATGTTGGTGCTGCTTTAAAAAAGGGGAGGGCAGCATACCTAAAGCAATCTGGGTAGTTCATATTTATTTACAGTTTTTCTGTACTGATGATCAGTAAACTTCTCTTGTGCAGCTCCCAAATAAAGCCATGAAACATGCATAAATCTTAAGTGGTTAAAACATCATGAGACTAAAAGCAACACTAGAAAAGAAACAGTGGTGCAGCCAGCTTAATGCATTATGGCCCAAAAGCCTGGAAAAATAACATCCTCAGCTGGTGCTGAAAGGTCGTTGTAAGCAACCAGGTGAGCTGCTGTTCCAAAGGTGTTGCACAACCAGGTGCTACCATGGAAACGGCCCTCTGCCTTGCAGTTACCTCTCCCACTCCCTCACTGGGGAGAAACACCCAGAGAAAGGCCTCTGAAGAGCCTCTTTGTCACTGCAAAATGTGTATGTGCCTTTTTCTTGCTAATATTTCACTCCCAACTGAGTCTGTCCAAAGCATTGGCTAAGTAGCTACTTTAATTAGAACTGAAATGAGTTTGAATAATTTACCGACTGACCAGAAAAACAAGCCAGAGACTCCTCAGCAAATCTATAGCATTCAGATTATTATCCCTGAAACTCAACTTAGCTTTAAATCATGCTGTATAATAGGCAGGTGGATTGCTTGTATCCTTCCCTCACCTGAACTGCAAGTTGTCAGGCTTGTGCAGTTGTTTTTTTTTAAAGAGCCATCCTGTGTAAACTGCTTGGGTAATTTGGTCAGCTCAACAATGTTCACTAGAATCAGAACTAATGCTAGGAACAGAAATGGGCTTTCTGGCAGCAAAGGAAGAAATGCTTCTTATGTTAAAGAGGTCTTAAAGGATGGTTTTTGTTACACTGGAGAAGCAGGGAACTAAGCTGTATGACTCCAGATTCTGCCAGTCTGACTCTATGAGGTATAATATATGTTCACTTTTTGCATTTTGAATTTCACCAAGTGTTTCTCTGAGGGAAATGCTAAAATCAAGTAAGCTGAAAATAGTGTTTCTACTCTTAGTCTCATGGGAAAAATCATGAAGCCCAAATCAGAAGGGTACTGCTTTACAGTTTAGGATCTGAATAACTGAGTTCTGAGCCAAGAGATCTACAGAGAATCTAGATGGAAATACTCTGCTAGATACTTAGTGCATTCCTATACATGGGACTTAAATGGAGTTCAACAGGAATGTCTCCCAGGTATGGTGATACTGGATTGCAACCCGCCTCACGCATTTTCTCACCTCAGCATGCGGCAACGATGTTCATTTAGTCTCTTATAAGCATCTGCAATATCAGTGACATTTTTACTGCTCCAGAGCCTCTCGCCAACAGCACTTGCCCGAGGCCTGGAATTACAGTAGAATTAGGCAAAGGTTAAGCATATTTTTAAAGAGCCAATTGGTTACTGTCCCTCAATTTGGTTTTAACACATTGAATTACAGCTTCCTTTTCTATGAAGCATGACAAACCAAACAGATGTTAAATTGCCTGATAAAAATGATCCTATTTATGCACTGTATTATTAATCTTTTAATATTCAAACTTCAAATCAGTCACCACATACATTATACATTGTAATGTACACTGTACACAGAAGGTATGTGGGTTTATGGCCACATGTTTTAGCTTTCACTCCTTGATGGTACAAAGACTTTATTTAATTGCCAAACTAAATTTTGTGTTGGCAGTCATGTTGGACAGTAGGCATGCTTGTCCAGAAAACTTAAATCAGCCCCTTTACTGGGTTATTAATGGATAGTCACAGAGGTTTCCAGTATATGTAGCAGCTTACATTGCCCTATAGGACAAAGCCTGAAGCTGCTTATACAGAAATATCCCAATGTTGGAGCCTGCAGCCAATTAGATGTAGCCATGGCACAATTTCTTTTTCCTTTAGTCTTATGTTAAGCTCGTTAGTGCTGTTTTCTGCAGGTAGTTTGTTGTAAACCCATTTCCTCCCCTGCCCTTGTTTATCATTTATAATGGTGTGAATTAAGGCGTTTGGACTGTTAGGTTGTAGTGGCAGGCTGACACAATGTGACTTCTTGTATCTGAGTGTCATCTTGTCTTCCTTAGGACTATTCTAGTCAAAGCTGTGGCTCCCAGTCAAGGAAACTCCTTTCAGGATATTCAGATAGGATAATGAAAGAAAGGAGACTGCGCTAGAAAGCAAAGCTGTTGATGGACAGCCTTGACACAAAACATATCATTAAGATCACATCAAGACCATTAAGCATGTGTGACGAAATATCAATACACGAAGAACTATACCAGAGTCTTGGGGTGAGATTAGTTGCATCCACATATTCTCCCCAGAGGCAAGCTTCTCCACCAAGCACCAGCTCCTTCTGTGATTTGCATCCTAGGTTTAAGGAAAATAAGAAGCACTTGCTCATTTCATACTCTGTTGGCTCAGTCTAATACAAAGATTAGTATTCTACTTCAGAGAGGAAAAGTTCTTGGGACTGTGGGAGTATTCAGTGTGCATGGAATGACTATCACTTCTAACCCCAAATGCCATGAGCATGCCAAAAACAACATCCAGCTGGTCTGGCTTGCAAACTTACCCCAGTTGGTAGCATCTTACCACTGCCAGATGCTGTCTAGGCAACCATTGGGAAATCTGAAGCCCCAGCTCTGGCCTTGGAAAAGTGCTGCAAGGGTGGAGCTGGCACTCTGAAGTAGAGCATTCTTCCTATGCCCCCCTCCAGCTGCCTGGTTCTTTCCATGCAGGCTGCAGCTCGAGAGTCACAAGTGCAACTCCAGAGCTGTTGCTGGGGTGGGGTGTGAGGGTGTTCCAAGGGAGGGGAGAAGTGGAGTTCTGCTAAGATACAGGGAGCCCCAGGAGTGCCTTGGCTGCCACCATTCACAAATCAGCCATCTGCATGTTTTGAAACGGGTGGAAAGTGGAAGCAATCCCTGCCTCTGTGCGCCTCCTATCGTCTACTGCATGCCAGTAAGTCTCTGAGTTCAGAGGATTTGGGGTAGCCACACTGGAAGGCTCCCCAACCGGGACTTCTGCAAACCAGCCTTCTCCATTGACAAACTGGGAAGTTAATCCGGGTGAAAGAAGCAGGGTAAGTGGCTATGAGTCGATTCATGCAACTCTCTGACTGAAATCAATATATGTCTTAACACCGATCAGATCAAGTCAATAGTAAAAGACAATAGAAGGTTTCAACCAACCGGGGAAGTCTAGTGGTTCAACACTGTAGTATTTCTTCCAGTCCTGGCCATAACTAATGAGGTCTAGGTACCAAGGTGCTGCCAGGATTGCCTGGTGTCCTTCCTTTGTGACTTTTCTTAATTCTTCTTGATACATGAACCCCATCCACACTTCAACTATTGTGTCTGGCTGTAGCTGAAAATATTGAAATACAAAGGTTTTAGATAGCATAGCGTCTTAGCACAGACATCTGGGGAGGGCATTCCACAGCCAGGGTACCACCACCAAAAAGGCCCTCTCCTTAGTAGTCCCATGCCCCAGCTTATGTGGTGGGGGATTCTGGAGAAGAACCTCTGAAAATTATTCTAGGGGCCAGAAAGGCATACAGTGGTACCTTGGCTCACAAACTTAATCTGTTTCACGACTCTGGTCGCAACCCAAATTGGTCATGAGCCAAGTCAAATTTCCCCATAAGGTTCAATGTAAATAAGGTTAATCTCTTTTAAATATTAAAAAAAATCACAGGGAAGATGGGTATGATTGCGGGTGTGCTCGGGGAGGAGACGGGCATGATTGCGGGCATGCTCAGGGGGAGACAGGCGTGATCACAGATGCACTGGGGGGTGGGAGAAGGGGATGATTGTGGGCACGCTCGGGGGGAGAGACGGGCGTGATCGCGGGCACACGTGCAGGGCTCTCTGCACAAGCCGACTGCTATCACTGCCATGTCCCCACCCCCCAAGCATTATCACAGCCATCTCCCCACTCCCAGCATGACCGCGATCACGCCCAAGTAGGGAAGACAGGCGCGATCGTGATTGTCACCCGATGCAGAGTTCGCGACCTGAGGAAAAATTTTTCTGAAATTTCTGTTCGCGACCCCATTTGGTCGTGAACTGAGGCACTCCTGAGCTGAGGTACCACTGTATGGGAGAAGGACCTTTGAACTGCACAGAACAGTGACATGGCAAGTTGGATTCTGTGGAAGAGGTAAAGCTGCTGCTTATACTGTCTTGGCACAGGGTATCCCTAAATTAAACATTTGCAAATTTTGTGGTCTAAACATGCAATAGCTTCACACTACTTTTGCACTACTCCTGCACATGAACATCACACTCCAAACTAGAAATCAGATAATCTCTCAGATCCTACCTTCACTGCATTATCGAAGACTTCCTGCCAGACTATAGATTTCTTGTTAAGAGAGGATACCGTGTCCAATATTCTAGGAAAAAGAGATTTAAAAATGATTATAATTGCTTATTTATTAGATATATACCCTACCATTCAGTCAAGATAGACTCCCAAAGCAGCCTTATATAGTTAGTCTTCTATAATTAAACTAATATTTTGAGATTGCTGGGTGGCTGTACGGTTGTCTCATCCAACCATTGGCAGCTGATTATATTGTGTGTGGTCCTCCACACTGATGGTGTGTGCTGAAGGGTCTCACTAGAAAGAAACTCACTTCTCAATATAATAGGATTCCAGTTTTGCATAGCTGTACCAGATCCCTTGCTTCTTCACGAACTCTGACACATTAGGGTTGGACTTCCTATAAAGGGAAAACAACTTATCAGGAAAGGCTTCCTCACTGTCACTAGAGACATCCAAAAAAAAAAAAAAAAAAAACTGGACAGCCATCTGAGTGGCATGGTGTAAACTGTTGTCGTGCAACTGGAGGGGGTTGGACCCAATGGCCTTCTTGGTCCCTTCCAGCTCTACTATTCTCTGATTCTATGAAAACACAAGTATGCTTCTTTCCTCTAGGGAAGAATGGGATGCACTGTGAACAGCAAAAGTTGTTGCAACCACCATACTCCAGAATGCTTGCTGAAAAACACTTTTAATGTTTTTAATTATCACACATGAAGAGAGATTTTAAGCTATACCAGCTATACATGTGGTAAGTCTCTCTTTTACCTGTATCCAGTGCATACTCAGGCCATGATTTAGCCAAAGTGAAGCATTTCCAAGTCTGACTGATCTACTTGTTATTTGCAAGTGCAATCCAATCCTCTTCAGACACATAAGCCATGATATCAGAGCCAGAAAAATCTGATGTATGGCCTAGTCAAGGTATGGATGGTGCAGGTTTCACAGCAGGTCATGAATTGCGGGGAAGCAGCTACTCCTTCTCCCCTGCAGTTAGAGCTAGTTCAGGAAAAAATGCTTGAGTCATCCCAGCCCATGGAACATTGATAGGAGTCTAGAAGAGAGACTTGACTAAGGAAGAACCATGCCCACCGTATCTCCCAGGCAATAGTAGTAGCTGAATAGGCTAGAAGAAAAACAATTAAGTAGAGTTTTTGACTCCCTGCTAAACTTTTCCATGTGCTCTAGATTCCAAACTGAGGAGTGAAGAACTCTAGTTTCCCACTCCCTTCCTAAAAGCTGGAGCACAGGCTAAAGAAGTCTGCAGGCACTGACCCCAGATGCTCTCTTGCTTGGAATGATCTGGAGCCCCAAATGGCTTGAGATTCAGTCTCAGTTTAAACTGCTGGGCTTTAAGACCTGTTGGGCTCCTATTTCGGTTGTCTGGGTTTATTTGAACTTGGGCTTGCGAAGTGCTCTGTTCCATGGACTCTAGTAAGGCATCTGCATGTGCATCCTGCTGTAATAAAGAAGTGTATGGTTTCTTTAATGCGTTGAGTTGCTAATGCTGCAATGGGTTCGGGCCTAACAACCTATTTCTTGTGTTGTTTGTTATGTTCAATCACAAGTTCTTCCAAGCGATCTCAGTCCCAAACTAACTAAAATCAGAGAAACTACATGGATACAAAGCACCATGCTCAGTTCTGCATGCAAGCAGGGCTTCTGGGCTCCTCCCCAGTCTGAATACAACCTCCCATTTTGTTTAACAAACTGCAGCCACAAACTCTGGGGGACCACAGCATAATGCAGAGGTCAAGGGGAAAAGCTAGGGTAAATGTAGATCCTGACCTATATAATTATCACTTTTGTCCCATATTACAACTAGACAGATCTCAGACACAGGAACATTATAGACTTTTAATGTCACACTGTACCAACAAGTGAAGTCCACCTCATCTCCTCCTAAGTGGATGTAGTCATCAGGAAATACGGTGCCAATTTCTTTGAATAATTTTGCCATGAAATCGTAAGTTGTATTCAATATGGGATTTATAGGTCCATACACGCCACTCGGATGTTCTCCATTGTAGCATGGTGTGAGGAGATCTTTTTGCCCTTAATTAAAACATGCAAATAAACAAAACATGTATGCTATTTACACCTTACAAAGTTGCATGTTTATTTCAAAAACAACTCCAGTAACTTAAATATACTTTTTTCAACAAAATCAAAAATATAATGTTTCAACTTGCACTTTGCATGGTGAATACAATTACTATGGAACACAAGACCTGCAAAATTCTGACTCAGAAGAGGTCTGCATTTCCTTGATGCTCTTAGTCATTTTATTCCAGGAATCAAAGCTTTCTGTTCTACATTCAAGGCTACCATTTTAGGATGTAATCCTATGCACATTAGGCAGAAAAAGTCCCACAATTCCCAGGATGCTGCCAATTGCAGGATATTTTTTTTTATCTAAATGTTCATAGGATTTCACTCCTCTAAGTTAATAGAGTTTATCATCATTATGAAGCAAAAAGGAAAAAAAGCAGTGATTAATAATAGAGTACAAAGGCAGATTTTCTGCAACAATCATGTTAAGAAGCTCGATGCATTTCAAGGCTATATCCAGTTTTTCATTAGGAGATATCAAAAGGCCAAACCACAGAAGCCCAGTTCGTCTAACTCAGTCTTCCTGCCGAATTTTGGCTTGGTACCCCTCAGACGTGCTGGGCTACCTCCCTAAATCCCTAGGGAGCATAACTAGTAGGAGGCTGGCTGGGGATTCTGAGACTCATCGTCTAACACATCTGGCAGACACCAGGTTGGGGAAAGCTGAAATAAGTTACATCTGCATTGGTAAGAACTGTGAACGGCTTTGGATTTACACTCTTTTTCATAATAGTCTGCATTTGCACTCAGTTCATGGTTGTGTCATATGTGTAGCTTCAGTATCAGCTGCCTTTCAGAAGAGCACACATCTTACCTTTTCCCCAAGACTCTGTATGTCCTGGGGTATCAAATTCTGGAATGACTCGAATCCCTCGCAACCGAGCATATTCTAACACAAGTGAGACATCAGTGGGAGTGTAAACGTGATTGTATGAATAGGCGCCCTGTGAAAACATCCGTGGAGACAGGTCAGTTACAATATGCCCGGACATTGTCAGTAATTTTAAACAGCAGAGTAAATTTATAGTTGTTTTGTGCCATCTGGTTGTTTTTGACTTATGGTAGCCCTAAGAAAAAAATGCTTTCCAGAATGTCTTTTAAAATAATTTTAAAGCAATTTACAATACAACATGATACAAAAACAAAAGAAGACAGACATTAAAAGATGAAATAGCACGTGAATAATTCAAACCCTCATTAGTAAAAACATCTAAAACCAGAAAACACAAAATATAAGAATATAGAAACTGGTGGTTCAGTTCACACATAATGGAAAAGCACAGGGTATTGGTGCTCTGTGTGAGCCGGCCCAGTGCCTCCTGCTTGCCCACTGCTTTTGCTTTGTACCTGGTTTAGCAGACAGCTCAGGCATCCCGAGTTTTTACCTGCCACTTTGGTCTGTTGGAGGGAGAGAACAGCCCACCATTTACCATTCCAATAAGAGCTGCAGTCCAAAACATCCAGGGGGGCCACACTGACGAAGGCTGATGGCTGCTAAGTAGCTTCATGCATGATGAATGCTGCCTTCAGAAGTATTCCTTTGGCAGGGATAAGTCTGCAGTTTTGCCATTTTGAAATAAAAGTTGCACCTGATATTGCCCACGTGAGAACACAAAAAGAGTCCTGCTGGTTCAGACCATCCAGTCCAGCATCCACTCACATGGCTGCCAGTCAGCTGCTCGTGGGATTCCACAAGCCAGACTTAAGTGCAACAGCACCAGCCCACCCAGGTTCCCCAGCAACAGGTGTACATAGGCCTATTGGAGGTGCAAGAGAGTCACAGGATTCGGCAGCCACGGATAACCTTCTCCTCCATGAATGTTTCCAATCCCCTTTTAAAGCTGTCTAAGTTAGTGGCCATCACTACAACTCATGGAAAAGAATTCCATTGATTACCTAAGTTCTGTTGTGAAGTACTTCCTCTTCTCTTTCCTGAACCTCACACCAATTAACTTCATGGGACGACCCTTTGGGTTCTAGTATTACAAGAAAGGGGAAAAAATGTCTCCTTTCTCCACACCATGCATAATTCAGGTATCAGGGAAACCTCAAGGTACCTAAACAATCCAAAACGTCTAAGAACAGTTTTTGTAGCTGAAAGCATCAGATATGTTTTCATAAACCTACAACCTGTAATCAATGCTTTCCTATAACTTGAGGTTTCTCCAGGAAGCAAAGAGGTGGCAATGATGAGGAAGAGCACTAGCAGCAGTAACAGTGACAACAGAGGTGAGAAAGTGGACGCCTAGAGGAAGGGGACCCAGAGAGGAAGGGGACCCAGTGAGGGTATCTTACCACAGGGCCATCAACACCTGCAGCTGCTACTGGCTGCCATGGTGCTGCGCCAGTAGCAGAAGGAAGCACTTTGACGATACCCAGGGCTGCCTCCATACCTGCAACAGGTTTTCACTGCTGTTTTGGCTGCAGCAAACCATACAGCTCTGAAAACTGCAACAATGACTGAACTGTTTAAATTGAATGCACTTTGGCCCACTGTGCCTTTGAAATAACTTGCACAACATGTGATTTTCTTTCAAGTTTAAGTTTCCCAAAACGTTGAGGGAGGAATGTTTGTTTGGTTCAATTTTATGGCAGGGAATTATCAGAAGGTTTTGTATGAGATGTACTCACCTGGCCACTCAGTTCAGGAAAAGTTACACTCTGGAAAGGAAAGGACTGGTCATCCACAATGTGCCAGTGCAGGACATTGAACTTGTTGAAAGCCATGGCATCCTATGACACAGGAGGCAAAATGGGATTTCATTAGGCACTTGGCATTTCAGGAGGGACTTTTAGCCATCACTTCAGCAAAGTCTGATTTCAGTCATCATTTTCAGCGTCCTCCTGAGTCTCAAGCAAAATGACCTCTCCCCTTCTTCTCCAACTGCTGCCATGCTCCAGATCTCAGCAGACCTTAGCAAAGCAAAATATTTTACAAGAAACTTAAGTACCCTCAGAAACTCCTAAATGACATTTAAGTAAACAGCCTTGGATGACATCTCTCTCACACCATCCACTGTTTCATTTCTATAAGCAGCCAGTGAACCTGATTTTAAAGGTCTGGTAGCCAAAGCCAAGCATTAATGCTCCTTTCTAGAGGTTGTGGCTCATCTGAGCAGACAATGCACTCCATGAACTAGCTATGCAGATGTCTAGCCAACCAGCACTTCCACTGTAGGTGAAAGTGACAGCTGCCGATGCATCATGTTTGGGATGACCACCACCCTTGGATTTTGAAAGACAGGCCTGGGGAAACTCAGGCTTGGGCTCCTGAACTGGTTGGCTGCCTTCTACCCAGCCACCCCATCATTCAATGGATCCCGGCTTTTGTGCAGTTTTCTTCCTGTTCTAAAAGAACCACAGAAGAGTCAAGCTACAACGTGCTAGTATTTTTCACACTTTGGTCCTACTCTTTTGTCTTTGGCTCTGCCCACCACTAGAACGTGGGCCCTGATGGCTTCTCCAAAATGCAGCCCATTTTGGGGCTGATATATCAAATATTTCAAATCATTTTAACACTACCCTTTTTATTTGTAAGGTAATACAGGTTTTAAATTAAAATTGCCATGCTAGCAGCTGCAGAGGATTTATTTTGAAGGGGAAGGGATCAGACTTGACTGCCAACTTACCAAATTGGTTAGGATAGATTTCAAGGGCAAGAAATGCCTTGATGTATCAAGCAAAATTCCTCGATAAGCAAACCTTGGGAAGTCGGCGATGTCAGATTTGTTGATAAAGAACTGATTAAACAAAGAGGAACAGAAGGTTTAGAAGATGGCCAGATTTAACTTTCCTGCTCAAGTATGACAACATACACAGGAAAAAAAGAAATGCATATGGCATATCTAAATAGAACAGAGTCCATCTTAAATCCAACTTTCAAAATATTTACATAAGCTTACAAGCAGTAGTCACAGAAAAGAAATATCTTGTAATCATGCCTGCCTTCAGTACTTGTATTTGAACTTATTTCTCTTCATATTCCAGTGAAGAATTTGCTTTTTAAAAAGCTTAGGTAGGTGCAAATTCACCAGCTTCATCCCAAATTCCATTTCAAACACAAATGTTCTTGAGCTATTTCTGGGTAGGCGCAACCTCTAAGGTATCTCATGTCCAGGTTGCAGAGCTACTAATCTTCAATCTTAACATGAAGAAAATTAGCCAAGCATTTTTGAAGTATATGCAGATTGATGGCTTTGTCAAGAAATGCAGCTAAATCTATAAATTGCACAGCAGGTACAAAGGTTCGTAAAACTGGACTGAGTTGCAAAATATGAGCTCTCCAAGCAAATATACCACCTGGCCTGCACATTCCTAGAGTCCTCCTGTCTCAGTAAACAGAGGCATGCAAGACTCACACCAAGTCAAGGGTACATTTGCTCACAGCTGTAATGCATGTCTGAGCTCCCACCAGATCCCTTCAGTATCTTGAACCTTTAGCAGATTCCACCCTTATTTTCTGAAGCCTATCTTAAGAAAAACAAATGGAAAAATTTTATATTGTGAAATGAAAGCTAACAAATACTCAGCACACCACAATGAAAATCGTGTTCTATTGCAGCCTTTAGAATTTGGGTGCTCTCTAAATGTTTTTGGTCAACAATGCTCAGCATTCTTGTTCATTGGCCATTTTGAAACTGATGGGAGTTGATGTTCAAAACATCTGGAGGGTACCAGGTTGGAGAAAGCTGTTGTATGGCTTGGCATGAAGTGACAGCCATCAATTTGGGTTCTAGGCCAAAAAAGACTATATCTGGAAGGCTACAAGGAGCCCGTGTGGATTCTGAAGCACAGCTTTGATCTGCTTCTGGCAGCCACCTCATACACACTGCGGCTTTCAAACACTCTCCAAAGTATCCCAAACTACTCCAAACACTTCCTAAATCTACAGTTGTTTTGCATCACAATTCCCATCATTCCCAGCAAGCACAACCAACTGCTTTGGAGGACACAAGATTGGGGAAGGCCGTAGTCAAACCTGAAAGCATTAGTAACAGTTGTCCAGTATGTCTATAGCCAAAGAAAACTCCAAATGACTAGCGGTGCCATGGAGAAGGATACTTACGCTTCCACAGTCATCTTCATTTACTAGCTGGCTGAATGTTTCTAAGCCTGAAAGTCAATTAGATTGAACTGTAATTCATAACTGGCAAAGTAGCACCGAAGCCATCTGAAAGCACATTGGACATTCCAAGGAAGCCATTTGAAAGGAAATACGAGGTACAAGCATACAAGTAGCCTGAGCTCTCCCTAAATGCCTGGATCTCATCCAAAATTGTTGCGGGAGGGAGGAAGCATGCTTTCCTTGTGGTAAAGGAGTATGCTTTTTATGCTAGGAAAGAACGAACATCTCCCCACAAGGAATGCTCACTTCTCTGCATTGGATGAAGCAGGGAAGCATGGGATGAGGAAGTGCCATTCACTTGGGCTTCCTCTCTCACTGCTTGAAAATATCAGCCACAAATATACTGGTCTCCTATTGCCTAATCTCACGGATACATAAAGCACATAGGACTGATTCACACCATGAAATCTGGAGGTTGTTTTGCAGTCTAGACAATGTTTGTGCATTTCCAGGTTGAACCTGCCCTATCGCATGTCAATCTGCCCTCATCCATGAACATAAATTGCCATCATGCACACGTGATTTGAACTGAAAAACATCAGCTCACTTTAACACTTCAAACCCACATGAAAACTTTATTAAGGGGAAAAACTGACATGACAAGGCAGTCTCCCCGACCCAGGTACCATGGGGGTGGAGGGAGCTGCCCCTGTTGATGGGAGTTACATTATGGTAGTTGTAGTACTGCATCTGGTATGTTTTCATACCAGACTTTCAGACTTACATCACAGCCCAGTGCCCTCCGTATGTGCTAGACTACAGCTCCCATCATCCCCAGCAGCTCAGGCTCCACTGGGACTAACTGAAGTTTAGGTCACCTGGTGAAGCTTATCTTCAGAGTCATCGATCGATGGCTACCAGTGGATGCTACCGTTAGCATCAGAGACAGCCTGGCCACAAGTACCAGTTGCTGGGGAAGATGGGTGGAAGGGAGCGGTTTCCCTCACCCCTTGTTTGTGAATTTTCCATGGGCATCTGGTTGGCCACTGTGCAAACTGAATACTGGACTGGAAGGCCAGCACAGCTCTTCTTACGTTTGGTAGACTAAGGACAGATGAAATGAAGTATTGCCAGTTTCTAGCCTAATGGTACTATATGAGCTTAGTATGTAGCAGACCCCTGGTTCAATCTGTGGCCCCTCTAGGCTGGGTTAAGAAAAAACCCTGGAGAAACCCTGCCAAGGTGGGGCTACATGGACCACATGTCTGACTTGGCGAAATGTAGCTCCCTAGGTTCACACACAATAAAACCACAGGATTCATTGCGACAAGATGTGGTGATTACAAGTGGCTTAGGTGACTTTAAAACAGAATTTGACAAATGCAAGGAAGAAGAAATGCAAGGCAACAAGCATGAGTCATCCCATGTGCCCAGTGGCAATATTCTTCCTAGAACAACAGTGTGGGGAGGGAACAGGGGAACTGGCTGCATTTATCTTGTTTTGTATTTCCCAGAAAACATCCGGCTGTCCATTCTGGAATAGTCCTTTGGTCTTAAACAGCAGGGCTCCTCTTATCTTACAACTCACCTCTCAAAGCTCCCCAAACTTTGCCTGCTTTCAGCACAGCTGCAGGTTCTGATACTTGGAGCTGATCTTTAAGGGAAAATGGCAATAGTGAGTGACCTTTCAGTAAGAAAGACTATGAAATGATCCATTACTTTCCTCTACAAACAACATTTTTGGCAGCAAGCTTGCACGCAGACTATGTGAGATCAATGTGCCAGACTGCAGCCAGCATAATAAACTGCTTAGCTATAACTCCTAGAAAAAAGAGAAATACTTTCTGGTCCACTGATGATCTTCATATAGCCAAAAAACCAGGGAAGGCAACCCTTTTACTCTCCCAAGGGTGGCACTTCTTTGCAAGTACTGTTGGGTGCCACATGGGTGGGTCAGGGGCAACGGTAAATGTGTCCCGAGTCCCTGCTTTCTTCCTCACATGCTCTTTCACTCCACCCCCACACTTACCTACTCACAGATCTACTCATATGGACTGGGCAGGGGGAATTTATCTGTTCTCTCCCCCCATGATCCTGATAACGTTTCCTGCTTAGATGGGCTGAGGCAGGGAAGGCTTGGGCAGAGTTGCCTAGAGCTCATGTGCAGCTCATGGGTTGCCCACTTAGGTCTCAATGGGTTCTTCTCCCAGTCAGCCTGCAAGACAAACACAGCTCAGGCCATGCATTGTTTTTGCTGCCCTGGTAAGCCACAAAAGCATAAACTTCTCTGATACCACTGCCATACAGGCCTAGAAATTGTGTAGGGCTGCTCTAGGAAGTTTCTTAAAATGAACAACTCTTCCCAACAAATACAGGGAGTGTGCTGCCCACTTAGAAAACACTGCTGTTTCTTCCCATTTGCAGAGAGTATCCTGTATCATGGCTCTTGCAAAAGGCTATCTAGCAACCTTTCGTAAGAACACGCATGTGCACGCAGAGTGATGAAAATAAGAAGCGAAACCTTACACCCACTTCGCCTTGGAACACAGGAAGCATTCGAGGCCATCAATCCATGCAGGTCTATATGCCTGAGTCCATTAGTAAATCTACTATAATTAACAGGAACACACTCAAGTACTTTATATTTGTAAAGTGCCCAGGAGAACGTGGTTTCTTATATATCAAAATGGCACCATCTACACATATCAGGGAAGTAGAAGGTTTGGTAGAAGAAACATCTTTAGGAAAACAATTTTTTAAAGGGGTGAGGGAAATTCCCGAACCAGTCTAACCAGGTGTATTCCATGGCAAAGGAAGGCTGACTGTTGGGAAAAGTGGAAAACCTGGTGGGAGGGGAGTATCCTTGAGGAAGGCAAAGCCAACTGACTGGAACTCCCGACTATAACATCTCGTTGCCAACCCTACTTGTTTTCATCAAAACCTCCCATTATCCAACTGTACTAGATTTCTTTGTAACTTGCAAAAGTGCCTGAATATCTAGGATTACTGCATGAAGCACTGACAAATGTCACACAATTCAGCCTGATTCAGAATCTAAGCTTCTACAAAAATATTTTAGAACTAGATAAATTTCAAGAGAAACATGAATAGAGCTATCAATCTCCACAAGCCATAGAATTGTAGAATACTAGAGTTGGAAGGGGCGAAAAGGCCATCAGGTCCAACCCCTGCTCAGTGCAGGATACCAAGTTAAACCATCCCTTCCAGATGGCTGTCCAGTTGAATTCTTTTGCACTGAGCCAAGCTATTTCTGTCTATTACTCAGCTAATAAACTGCAAAATAAGCAGCTGACTTATTACAGTCAACCTTAATGGCTAGGAAAACACCCAGTGCCCAATTATATACACAAGCAATACTATATACAAGCAAGAAAAGAGACATTCCACAGAAGGATGTAACGTAGCCTTCCCCTACCTGACACCCTCCAAATATTTTGGACTTCACCACCCAGTATTTCTAATCTTTGTCCATACTGGCTGTGACTGATGGGAGTTTACATGAAAACCTGAAAGGCACCAGGTTGGGGAGGACTGTTGCAAGGAATCAACATATTTAGGAAGGAGGTTAGATCCATCCACAGCATCAAGATACTTACAGGCTTCATCTGATGTAATGCTAGGATATTTATCACATTCAGAATCCTCTGAAGTGATAATGACCTGAAGTGAGGACAGCTCTGCTTCAGAAAGAGGTTTCTCCTTGTCACTGTTCTGCCATTTGGAGTATCCAAATATGTATTCATAGTATCTGGAAGTGAATCCACAGGCACATAAAGACACACAGATTGTTCACTTTCTATTGACATCACATAGGCCCCACACTGATAGGCTCTGCGGGAAACAGACTGCCTAAAAAGGTGGTAGAGGCTCCTTCATCGGAGGCGTTTCAACAGAGGCTGATGTTTTAGTAGTGGATGCCCTGCATCCACAGGGGGCTGGACTCAAAATCAGCTCCGCAAGTTACTTCTATGAATGCTCCAACTTGATTAAGATAATGATTTATTTACACAAATGCTCCCCAGTGTTGCAGAAAGCTACCAAGGTTGGCTGTTGTTCTTTAAACTTTTTGCTGAGGTGCAACTTGCATCTACTTATGTTTTTGGAAGTGCCTGCTGTATTATGAGCCTTTGTTTTTGTTTGTGCATCTTCAGTTTAAATTGAGCATTGAAAATAAAATTTATTCAACAATGTTTGAAAACCACTGTTTTATTTCATCTACCCTCAAAGGTTAACATTTTGTTACTGCAACCTTAACATGGTAAAATTCTGATCTGTGTAAAAAGGTTTTGAGGACTATTCTGCTTATATCCTCTTTTATTAGGTCCTCATTCACACTTGCTGCAATCCATCAGAAGGTGAGCCATGGTTAATTAATGGACTTCAAGGCACCAAACTTAACAAGCCAGGGAAAACTACTACTGTTTACAGAACACTTCTTTAACCTGCTGGCCTCCAGAAGATTTGGACTACAACTCCTATTGTTCTCAACCAGCATGCTCAATGGCTTGTGCCATTAGGAGACCACCTTCCCCCACAAAGGCTGCCCTGGTCTGTATGTTTGGAGCACAGAAGTGCAGCTCACTATACCATGGCCTCCTGATGTTCATTTGGCTGTAGTGTGCAAGACGGCCTACTCCAAAGTGGCAACCAGCACATGGAATGAAGTCCCCAGTGAAATCAGGAGGACTTCCAGGGTTGTGCATTTCCACTATTGAGCATTTATTGTAAGCCATCCCAAGACGTTCCCATAGGGGACGGGATAGAAAAACTTTAAATAGATAAATAAAAATGCTAGTAACGCAAGACAAATTGCTTTGCTTGAGCATTTTCCTGATTGATGTTGTGGCCAGCTACTCCTGGTCATGGTTATTGCTTTGTTACTGCTTTATTAGTCAGTTTTATGATAGTTTATCGTGATTTTATCTTGTGACTCACTTTGGGATTCAAAAAAGAGTGCCTAAGACATTTTCCGAAATAAAAAGAAAGAAAATGCCAAAGGATGTTGACTCTCACATCACTTCTAGCTATGATGACATCTTATCACAGGAACTTTTGTGTGTGTACACACACCCACTCAGTTGGGTGGAGGAGGGAGAAACTAAGGGTACAATCCTGTGCATGTGGAACATTAATATTTAAAATTTCCTTATGGAAGCATATTTTCACATGTTAATGGTAGAAATTAACATTCTGTGCACCCTACTCTTGAGAATGGATTCTTTACACTATCCTTTACACAAGGCAGATAACAATCCTGTAGCAAACAAACAAGCAATTGAACAATAGATCCCTACCCTAATTGTGAGTGCTTACAGGCATCTGCTTAAGAAACAGTGGTGGACCTTGGTCTGCGCTGTTGCAATCCTTGCTGTGCCTTTATCTGGAAAATACACCAGCAGTAAAGTTTATATACTGCTTGCCAAAAGCACATGAGTCCTTATGGGTGGGGGGAGGAAAAAAAAAGTTGATGCCCCAAGGGGCACCTCACCAAAAGGCCCCTGTGATAGAGTCACAGGACAACAGAGCTGGGAGGGACCTTAGGGGACCTTACTTCAGCACGCTGCAAGTTGCAGCTAGAGGTGGCAGACGGGTGCCCTTCAGATGATATGGATTCCAACTCCTATCTGGCCCAGCCAAGGTATTGTGAAATTGTTGTTTTAAAAATCATGTGGGAGAGTGAGGCACCACATATTGCCTACTCATGAGCAATAGGATCTTTGAAAGGCATCTACCATGCCTCTGCTAAACTGCCTCCAAGCCAAAGAGAGCTGCTGTGACTAGAGAGGGTTGTTCCTCACAGCAAGAATTATCTCCTGCTCTTCCCCCTCAGCAGCCCTACTAGTCCTGTCCTCCAAACACACAGAGGACTAGTATGCTCCATCTGCTCTGTAACAGCCCTGTAAGACATCTCGCAGCTTTCTCCTACCTGGAACCCTCCAGGGATTTTGAACTTCAGCTCCCTTCAGACCCCGCCAGGGCTAAGGCCAGGAATTCTGGGAGCTGTAGTCCGAAACATCTGGACACACCAGCCTGGGGGAAGATACCCTACCCACTTCTGCTCGCGCTCGTTCCAGCTTCAGGTGTCCGCTCTCCGAAGCCCAGGCGGGCACCTGCTGCATGTCAGGTCTAAGGCGCTTCCCCGGAAGGAGGAAAGAGAAGTTCACCTGCGGAAGGCATCCTGCAGCAATGCGCAGCGCGGCCCTGCCGACGAGCCCGGACCGTGGACGATCTGGAAGCGCCTGGGCGCAAGCTGCAGCCGGGCTGGCCAGATGTGGAGCGAGGCGGGCAGAGGCCAGAGGGAGCCGGGCGAGGGCGCGCCCAGCGATGCCTCCTGCCTCGAGAGCAGCTGCTCCTGCGCTTCGGTGGCCGCGTGCGGCTGCTGCAAGGACGAGGCGGCCAGCGCGGAGATCCGCAGCAGCAGCAGCAGCAGCCCGAGCGGCTCCATGACTCCGGCGCCCGCCTCCCGCCGCAGCCACAGGCCCATCCGCCGCTGCCAGAGGAGAGGGAGGCCCCTGGTCCCCAGCGACGCCGCCGCGCTCCGCCTCCTTCCTCATCCCGACCGCCCTGAGGAACAGGAGAGCCGCCCCTTCGCTGGGGAGCGCAGGGTCCGCAGAGAAATGCACGCAGGCGCGGGCTCGTGCAGGCCGGGAAGACGCTCGCTGAGGACCCGCTGCCACCTAGCAACGCCCTCCCGAGAGGGGTCTTTCTGCTCGGGCGAGCCTCGCCGACGAGCACGGCCGAGGGAGGGCGGCCCTTGGGAAAAGCCGTGACAGAACAATGCTCGCTCGCGTCCTCCCCGCAGCACGCATTGTCCAGCCTCGTCGCGGCAACACCGCAGGACCCCTCGCACCGTAGCGCAGGCGAGCCCGGCCATTCCGCTCCCACGGCCAAAGCAAATCCGCATAGGGAGCAGAGAGGGCGCCACCTAAAGGGCGCGACTCCATGCCAGTTTAGACAAAAAGAAAAGGCCTACAATTCCCAGTATGCCCCTGGCAGCATGTGGGGGGGAGGAAATGGGGTATTAGCAGGGCCACGCTATCATTGTCCATTGCACAAGCAGCTGCAAAAGCAGAACCTTAGTTGGTTATGCATAGTGCACAACTTGTGCATAATTTGCGACTTTGTCATTCTGTCAGCTCAAGGCATTCAAAAAGAAACTGAACAGCCATCTGAGTAGGATGGTATAAATTGGTGTCCTGCAACTGCAGGACCTGATGGCCTTCATGGCCCCTTCCAACTCTAGTATTGTGTGATTCTTTGAAGAGACATTGCATTAGTGGAAATCAAGTTGTATATAACACATGGCTAATGCCTCTAAGGTGTGACGTATCTGTTACATGTAAGAAAGATTTCTTGAGCCTTTTTTTAGGTATTGCAGGATCAATATATGATGGCCATCGGGTCATGACAGCTCCTGGGTCCAATCTCTACTTTTGTGTATAAAATAGATGCAACATATTATGTTAGTTTCAGACTTAAGCTGATTGATCCACCAGCCCTATTAGAATGCTACAGATAGGATGAGTTGAGGTTTGTGGTGGTGGTGGTGGGTGTGAACCCTTCAAAACTGGGCAGAGAACTTTCTAGGAGCAGAGCCCTTACTCATGCTTAAGCCAGCTCCTGAGTACAGCCTATAGCATCTCTGAGGTGTGGAACCTTGCACAACACACACAAGTAAGATCAACTTGTGCAAGTGGGGTCAGAGGATACAGTCCCAACTCCCCTTCCACACATCATGTCTATGCACTTTTAGAATGTCTGGAAATGGACTATATTGAGTGAGATAGTTCATGAAGAGTAATATTTGCATATTACATTTTTCTGTTTAGTCACTAAGGCATGCCCAGCCCATCACAATCCCATGAACAACATTTCTCCAGGTTCTCCTGTCTTCCACCAACCCCAGGAGTCCATGCAAGTCCACACCCACTGCCCCAGTGACCCGATCTAGCCACCTCAACCTCTGCTGTCCCCTTCTCCTTTTGCCTTCAATTGTTCCCATCATCTGGGTCTTCTCCAGTGAGTCCTTCCTTCTCATTAGGTGGCCAAAGTATTTGAGTTTCATCTTCAGTATCTGACCTTCTAAAGAACAGCCAGGGTTGATTTCCTTTAAGATAGACTGATTTGATTTCTTTGCAGTCCAAGGGACTCTCAGGAGTTTTCTCCATCACCACAATTCAAAGGCATCAGTTCTTTGGGGTTCAGTTTTATGGTCCAGCTCTCACAGCAATACATTGCAATGGGAAAACCATAGTCTTGACTATACAAACTTTTGTCAGCAGGGTGATGTCTCTGCTTTTTAGTATGCTGTCTAGATTTGCCATAGCTTTCCTCCCAAGGAGCAAATGTCTTAATTTCTTGGCTGAAGTCACAATCTGCAGTGATCTTGGAGCCCAAGATAATAAAATCCATGGTTACATGAAAAGAAAAACTGGAAGGGAAGCAAGGAAGTGTACCTGTTAGTATTGAATTACAGTTTTGTAAATATGGTATATACCATGGCTCCCTGCTTGTTAATCTAACAAGCAGCAGCAGTGATGAGACAAACAGGGACAAGGAGCAATGGCAGCTGGTGATGCTGGTGCTGAGAAGACTGACTCAGAGATGGGGAGGAGACCCACTGAAGGCATCTTGCCCAAGAACCCTCCAAAACCTGGAGCCAGCACTGAGCTGGAGAAGCAACACTTTGCATGAGGGATTAGATTTCCCACCATTGTCCCTTTTCTGGTTGTACATTAAGTGGCTTTCCTGTTGATATCTTCCCATGTGAGCAAAAGCCACACCTTTTCTATTGCTGCTTGTCATGTTGCTGTTAAGGTACAAAGCCTTTGTCAAGGGTGTGGTTGGATGCTTCATCCACTTCTGGTTGCATGCCAAGTTGCCAGCAGTCAAAGAGCAGGCAGGGAGATCATAGACTAGTAGAGCTGGAAGGGGCCATGAAGGCCATTGGGTCCAGCCCCCTGCTGTTGCAGGACACCAACTTACACCATCAGACTCAGAAGACTGCCCAGTTTCTTTTTGAATGTCTCTACTATGGGAGAGCCCACAGCCTCTCTAGGCAACTGGTTCCACAGTCATATAGTCTGAGAGTTAGGAAGTTTTTCCTGATATCTATCCTGAACCTGGGTTGTCACAATGTGACTTGATTATTCTGTGTCCTACACTCTGGTATGAGTGAGAAGAAATCTTGTCCTTCCTCTTTGTGGGAACCTTTGAGGTACTTATACAGTGATATCTCTCCCCCACTCCAGTCTTCTCAAGGCTGAACATATCCAGTTCTCTCAGTTTCTGCTCATAGTGCAATGTTTCCAAACCCTGGATCATTCTTTTTGCTCTCCTCTGGACCCTTTCTAGTTTTAATGCATCTTGGTGCCCGAAACTGGACACAGTATTCTGACTAGTGAAGAATATAGAGGAACTATTACTTCTTGTGATTTGGAAGTAATACTTCTATTAACGCATCCCATATAGCATTTGCCAGTGTTGCACTGCCTTGTTGGCTGTATTTAGCTTGTGGCCCACAATAACTCTAAGGTCTTTTTCAGTTCTGTTGAGCCACATATTCTCCATCTTGTATCAATGCATTTGGTTTCTTTTTCCTGTATTGTCACAGTCCAATTTTCTGCTTACTGTGCTATGACTCAGGCCAGATGAGGTTTATGTAATGATACCTTGCATGTTTGTTTGTAGGTAATATTCTAGTTAGGTTTGCCAGGAGCCTTTCCTGTCTTGCATGAAATATTCCAAGCCTCCATTCCTTCCATGACTCACTCCAGGTGCATGGACCACAACATATTTGTAAGATGTTTTCTGTACTATATTTATACACAGGTCTAGTGTGTGCACCTATTAGAAAGTGGGTGTGTATTTTTTTTTAGCTGAGATCGTTCAGCTTGTTCTTCTCCTGTGTATTATAATACCCAATTCAAGAAATTCCTTGGGCCTGCCAGCAAATTTAAATACAGAATAGAAAAAGGGCAGTGTGTTACGGGGTGCTTGACAAATTAGCTATTCCTAGCTCCACCCTAAAGAACTAACTAGTTTACTTGTTTGAAAGTCAAATTAAAAGGATGCTCGTTTGAAAGTCAAACTGCTCCCTTGGAACTTCGGTGAATCTTTTGAAGCTGTCAGATGAGGACAGGCATTCTCTTGCAATCAGTTGCCAATCTCAGCCACCAGGTGGCACTAAGTTTAGCTTGTTTTCTTCTCTACCAGTGAACAAGCTAGGCCTTGAAATTGTATCAGTTTGGTAAGTGAGCAAAACTGGCAGTCGTTCTCTCTGCCTTTCTCTATGAATTATTTTGCAGGATGTTACTGGAATCTTGAATTAGTGGTTACCTGTACATGTTGCAGAAGCAGGGGTTTGGGGTTTTTTTTGTGGCTCCTGTGTCATCTTTAAGGTGCCAGAAAGCTCTTATCTTTTTTGTGTCATTGAAGGTTGCTAAAGCACACCCTGAAGGTTCTTGGGATCCTAACCCTTAACCTTCCCTGTCTCACTCTCTGCTTTCATCCCTTCACTCCCTTCTTCTGCCTGTTAATGCATGCTGGAATATTGGTTTGGGCGCACAGGGGAAGTCCTCTTTCCTTCTCAGGTTAAGACAGGGCTATGATCAGTTAGTTCATTGTTGTGATGGACTTCTTAGGGTAGAATCTGCTTTAATCAGTCACCTTTTTTCCTATCTCTTAATTTGTGAAAAGATTCCAAAGAGTGTTTTTAAATGTCTCCAGTTTCCTTTGAAGCAGGAGCATCGAACTTCTTTCAGCCTTAGGGCCAAATTCAACATCAAAGTAGCTTTGGCATATTGGAGGATTGATGAGCAGAAATGAAGGCAAAACGGAGCAGGGTCTTTGAAAAAGTGGTAGGCCAAGTGCCAACATAATTTAGCTTAAAGTTCTCACTGCCAGTAACTAAACCTTAGGAGAGAATTTTAACCTTTCAGAATTGGGGAAAAACCTAGGAAGCAGCCAGCCAAAAGGGCATAGGGCCAGGGAAGAGGGAGGCTGCAATCTCAGAGGGCTGGATTTGGCCCATAGACCTGAGGTTCTGCTTCCCTGCTATAAAGGATAGTGCCACCAGTTGCATGTCATCCACTGTGGAGTTTAATGGGATCTTTCTTCCAGTCTTATGAATATAACATGAGTCAGAGTTCCCCAACCAGGACCACTTTTATGGCCCATTTAGTTAAAGTTAGCCCTGCTCATCCATTCAGTTTGTCATGTAAAACCTTAGGACAGGCACAGTTCATGCCAATTGCAGCATCCAAACTCATGAGCACCATTATTACAATGTTTAATTTCCAGTGGCGGTGGTGCATAATGACATGAAAGAAATAGAGCACAACAGTAAGAGCCAGAATATGATGGCCTAGTCATCTGTTCCAGGATGGGAATGGGAGGTATGATGGTATCTCAAGTGAATCCCAGATATCTGATGGTGAACGCACATGTATAAGAGAGTTA